CGCATTCCTTCCAGTCCGTAAGTGCCAAATACGAACTACATGCTGCAACATATTATCTCTCACTCAACCATTTGGTTCAAAATAGAACTTCATTCAGCCCGGGGTTCTCAACGCCTTGCCTCCAGCTATTACATATCAACGAAAGAAAGAGAAAAATCTCATGCTAATACATCAAGTCGTGATTCATGCTCGTGGGAGAAGAAAAAAGCGCCAATAACTCATGAAGCGGGGTGTGAGAGCTCCAATGGAGATGGCGGCCGCTCGTCCACTGCCGAATGGAAGCTCGACGGCGACGCCGGGGATGCAGCCCGGGGAGTAGGAGTGTCCAACTGAATGGATGGCACTCGTCTGATGGTCCGAGGCAGGGTGCGGTGCTCGGCCGCAGGACTATCGTATGCAGGCACATCACCCCATTCCAGATAGTCATAGTCCGGTGGCGGGGGGATGTTGAGCGTCCCCAGGTCTCGTTCATCGGCTAGAGACAACGACCGGCTAGAACCGTGTGTGGTGGATGGGCCCAAAGCCAAAGGATCAACGTCCGTCACGGCAGTCGAGGTGCTCATGATCGAGGATGTAAGGGACATGACGCGGGAGGTGGCGCTTGGTGGATCCATCAAGGATGGGTTGGATGAATCGGTGTGTTGGAGCAGAGGATGATGATCGGAGTCGTACGAGTTGGCCCGGAGGCGCGATCCGTCATGGCGGACATGGCCAACATCGGCGTAGCTGACGCTCGACACTCGCCGCCCTCGCTCACGCGATTGATGCTCAGCCAGAATGGCCGAAGCATTGACTGAGGTGTTGCTACCATTTCGAGACTGGCGTCTGCGAGCCCGTGACTCTGCGGCCAGCTGCTCGAGACGGTCCGTATCGCCGCGAGCACGAGCTTCTCGCCGGTCTCGCCGTCGAGCCTCTCGATCAGAGAGCTCTTGTCGTCGCTGCAGACGCAGCTGGTACAACGCCTCCATCTGCTCTTCACGGCGAGCCTCTTGCTCCTCTGCAGTCTCGGAATATTCCACCACCGTGTCCATGCCGCTCCGCTCGCCCTCCCGGCCGATGACCTGCTCAGTCGGCTTCGGGCTGGGGGAGTACGCCGGCAGCGTGATCACGGACCGAATCGACGTATCACGGTTTACACCCGTGGTGCTCATCTCTGGGCCCGCGCCGCGGTAGGAAGTGTTGGGCTCTCCATCAGGGCCCGGTCGATTCGACACCTGGTCATACCTGGCTCTACCCGGCGTCCATGTCCTCCATTTGCTCTTGAGATATTTTCCGGGGAGGTATTTGGGCTCTGCGTATCGCTGGCGAAGGTATCGCGAGCCAAAATAGATGACCACGCAGAGGGCGAGTCCGAAGATGATGCAGACGGCACCCTAGGGGTGAGCGGTCTAGTCAGTGAGATTATTTTTTTTAGAATTATCGGGAAACCATACGATGATGAAGGAAGTGTTCTTTTTGGGTGACGAGGTGGCCGGCTTGTGCGCCGACGCCTTGTCGGACTGGTCTCGTTTGTCAGGGAGGTACATGGCGGCTGGGCGGGCACCGACGAGCCCTAGAGAGATGTAATGGGAGACATGGGACGTGTAGAGAAGAAAGGAAGCCACCAGGAAACCACAAAGAGGGTAAGACAAGAGATCAGAGAGGCCGTGCTATTATTGGGGGGTCTGGACGCCTCAAAAGCCAAGAGGCAAAGTCAGCGCTGGCGTGGCCTGCTTGTGTCCGCAGCTGCAACTCCGTGTCGATCATGTCTGACTTGCCTTCTGGCCGGGTTTGCAAGTTTCGCCCAAAGCAAGGGCTGCCCTGGCCGGATGCGCATTATGACTGTAGGGCCAGGATTGCAATCCGTTTGTCCTTTGTTATTTAGGGCTTTCTATCCGCCACCACGGTCATCCCTTTCTGCCGCTGACTGAAAGGTCCCCGGATCGGCACTGCGATCATCTGGCGCCGCGGCATGATCGTGATAGCGCCGCCCCAGAGGATCGGTTAGTGACTACTAAGTGCTCCGGTTGGCGCACCATCGCTTTTCCATCTGAAAGATCGACATTCCGAAATGAAATGGCCTGGTCGCTCCAATCGGGACAATCAATACCACCCACCCACTATCACAGGGCCTTGTCAGCCTGCCCTACTATTCAACCATGTTGACGACGGCTTCCCGGGCGCGGGGCCCGCACCAGGTCCTATTTATTTATGGGTCCGGCAGCTCCAAAGGAGACAGACATCCAGCTCTCTCGGCTTTGCTTCTGTCTGAGTGGGCCCACTCTTCACGTTTTCTTCAGGGGCAATACATATTCTGACAGCCACGCGACAAGCTTCCAATAGGCTGCTGCGCGTCATCACCCAACATGGCAACTTTCAACATTGATTTGGTGAACAACACCGGTTCCGACACCGCGTATGCCTACATCACCGGTCAGGCCATTGACAATAATAATGCGCTTTTCCTACTGCAGTCGGACGGCACCACAGCCTACTACCCAACCTCGCCGTCGGCAACCAGTACCGCGCTCTCGGCCAACTGTGCCATTCCCCTAGGCGCAAATGGCAGCACCAAGACCGTCACGATCCCCCACCTGGCGGGTGCGCGTCTGTGGTTTGTCCGCGACGCCGAGCTGACCTTCTACTTGAATCCGGGTCCCGAACTGGTTGAGCCCTCATCGTCCAACACGTCGGATGTCAATTACAACCTTTACTGGGACTTCTGTGAATTCACCTGGAATACGGAGCAGCTGTATGTCAACATCACTATGGTGGACTTTGCGTGTCTTCCCATTGCGCTGTCCCTCACCAACACCTCTGGCACAACCACAACCGCAAAGGGTCTGCCCGCTGACGGGCTCGCCACCATCTGCTCCGCTCTGCGGGCGCAGAATACCAGTGACGGTGCCGGATGGGACAAGCTGGTGGTCACCAAGGGCGGCGCGAATCTGCGCGCCAACTCTCCCAACACGGGGATCTCCCTGGACAGTTCGCTGTTCAGCAACTACTGGCAGCCCTATGTCTCTCAGGTGTGGTCCAAGTACGCCGGTTCCCCCCTGTCGATCGATACGCAGGCTTCCGCTGGCACTCTCACGGCGACGGTCTCTGGCGGCAAGCTAGCCTTCTCGTCCGGCTCCATCACCTACGGACAGCCGACGAGCGCCGACATTTTCAGCAACAGCTCCGGCGTCTTCGCTGTCTCCGGCGATCCCACCAAGGACGCCGTCACCGCGCGTCTTGCGGCGGCGTTTAATCGGTCCACCCTGTTGATCGACACTGCCCAACCAGATGATGAGGTGATTGCCAATTACTACCAAAACCCCATCACGAACCACTACGCCCGCATCATCCATGCGACTGCCTTGGATGGAAAGGGCTATGCGTTCCCGTATGATGATGTGGCCCCTTCAGACGCTACCAATGTCTCCGGTGCCGTCTTCGACGGGAGCCCCAAGTCGTTGACCGTCACCGTTGGCGGTCCGACCAGCGGCTCTACCAAGAAGAGCACAAGTCAGGGTGACAGTGCTCCAGCGCCGAGCGGACAGAACAACCAGGAAAACCACGGGACTGAGAAAAAGGACCGACTCGCTGGTGTGAAGAAGTTCATGCGCAAGCTGTCGTGTAGGAACTAGTCTCTCTCCGTGGAGTGGCGGGCTGGATTGGCGAGAATGTACATTTTTTTTGTAAATAGCTAGCTAGTAGTATGTTCGAGCTATATGGTTGTTCCAGGCAGACAGGCAGCTTCGACTGCGTTTGTGGCCTTCTGATGCCGAATATATATTTCTACGAACATGGTGCCCATTAGGTCCTACAATTACTTTAACAACTTCAACATTTATCCATTCCAGTCTGAATATCACTGCAACAACATATCCCATCCTCATCACAACGTGACGGACTCACCCGACCTCGTGCAACAATTCCCGGATCGGTGGCGTGCTCGGGCCTATCCATCCGGCCCCACAACGCCATTAGCTACCCTTGCTGGCCTCTCTCGCCTCCTCGGCACCAAGTTAACTAACCAACTGTGCTGGCAGCACCTCACCTCATCACCGGTCATATGCCCTACCACTCCCGGTCGAGTAAAGGGTGCGGGAATTGCCGTGCGCGCCGAATCCGAGTAAGCGAAATATTCTGTATGCTCTACACTTCGCAGTTCCCCCACTGACCCAGGCCGGTGAGCAGTGTGACACCGCACGGCCCACATGCTCCCAGTGTCAACGGGCCCGATTCTCCTGTCCTGGATACCGCAATCCACAGCAGCTGCAGTTTCGCGACGAGAGCCTGGCGGTCCGGGCTCGAGTTCATGCAGAGAATCAAGAGTCACATTCCGGAGTAACGGCGGTGAATAATACATGTACTTTATCGCCACGCTCGATCCCGTTGCCCCTAGCGGAATCATCCATCCGCGATGAATCTGTTTGCTTTTTCTTTCGTTACTATGTCCTCAATGACCTCTACGATATCCCTATTCACCCCAGCGTCTCGCAGATGGCCGATCTGGCCGCCGCTAGTCCGGCTGTCTCGCGGGCCCTCGCGGCGGTGGGACTGGCGAGTTTGTCTAACATTAGAAAATCTGCGGGGTTGATGACCGCTGCAAATAAGGAGTACACAGAGGCTCTACGGCTGACTGGTACCGAGTTGCATAATCCAAAAAGCGATGCTACTCTGGCGGCGGTGTTGCTTCTGAGTATGTTTGAGGTATGCTTTCTCCCCCGCCCCCTTGTTTGGCTCGATGTTAATAGCTGCAGGTTTTGACATGCGGAGTTAAACGCTCCCTCGAAAAATGGCTTCATCATACTCGGGGAGCCATGGCTTTGGTTGAGATGCGGGGAGTTGAGCAGATCCAAAAGACAATTGGGATGCGCTTGTTCACCCATTTACGCGTGCAGATTGTAAGTTCATTATCTACAACGTACTGCGAGAAATTGCGGCACTGACAGGACAAAAATTAGATCACTAGCTGCCTTTACTGGCACACTCCCGTACCAGCTTCATTGGTCCAATGGTCCTCGCAGGCCATGTTCCTGCGGTCGGGCAGCGACGCCAAAGCCGACGAGCTGGTAGACCTAGTTGCTCGCGTTAGCCAAGTAGTGGCCCGCGCGGAGACACAAGATGATATCAAAACTATAACAGAGGCCACAGCTGTGGACCAACTCCTACTACAATGGCGACAAGAGCTACCACCTCGATGGGCCTATCGCATAGCTCAACGACCACCAGCTCGAAACCGAAACCAAGCCGATGCGGAAGCTCTCTTCTTCGACGAAACCTATCATATCTATCCGGACGCCTGGGCGTGTAATATTTGGAATTTCTATCGAGTAGGCCGGATCCTGCTTAATCGATTGATTTACCTTCGCGTCCAGAAGCATCCTTATCCGACTTCACACTCGACAAACGAAGCGCTCAGCAATTTAGCGATGGAAATTGCGCAAAGTGTTCCCTACGCATTGGGACAGGTTGGGTCTGGAAGAGAGGCAGAAGTCAACTTAGCCTCCTCAGTTGACTATCTTGGAGGCTACATCGTGATGTGGCCTTTGTACCTGGCGACAGATGTAACCCCCCCGGGATCGGCATTACGTGAATGGGCCATCGAACGCCTGGAAGTGATCGGTCATTGCATGGGAATTGGGAAAGCCCAGTTTATGGCGCGAGTTTTGAGAAACGCACGACGATTTGAAGCCACATTGTCAAGCGGGGAAACCACTTGAATGTCTCAGAGATTCGTCTATATTCTAAATGAAGATAAACTGTAAACTATTTACAAAGAACTTGCGACTTTCTTCACTGGGTTCGTCAACTCGACCAGTTTAGCCATAATCCGCACGTCACCGACTGACTTTCCAGAGGCATCGGCCTGTCCATTGAGAACGGCCACAAACTCGGCTTTGGTGAGAGTCATGGTGAGGCCAGCGGCATCACCAGCGAAACCGGTTTGCTCAACAGTGTTGCGGACAGTCAGAACACCATTCTTTAGGATCAAGCGCAACCGCTTCTTTTCATCAGTAAGGTGCAGGTCCATCACAAAACTCTCCGTCGCAGCTCGCAGCCCATCCAACCGAACAGACAAAAGCGTTAGCAGTTCCTCTGTTGATAGCTGTCCACTGATCTCAAAGCTCGGTTGTGCTTTAGGACTCTCAGTCAGAGAAGACCGCATGTCCATCGCGCCAGTCAGATAGAAATTGCGCCATGTTGCATTCTCACACCCAAAACCGAGCTTATCAAAGACCGATGCTAGTGCGAGTCTTGCTGCTCGGTGTGTGGGCTTTGCGGAAACGGCATGGCCCAGCAAAGTCGCAGCAAAGCGCAGGTCTTTGGTTTCTGCGTAGTGGGCGGCTTTCTGAACAACGGCATCAACCCCGCCCATGCAGTCAACATATCGCTGGCCGAGCTCAGCGGTGGGATACTCCCACAGGTGAACGGGGTCACCATCGAACCAGCCCATGTAGCGCTGATAAATGCCTTTGACATTGTGGCTAATTGAGCCATAGTACCCACGACCATGCCATGCCGCTTCCAGAGAAGGAGGGAGAGTAATCTTCTCCGCAATCTCGGTCCCCGTCATCCCCAGATTCATCATGCGAATGGTCTGATCATGAAGATAGGCGTAGAGATCGCGTTGTTCCTCCATGAAGGTCTTCAGCTGCTCCTTCCCCCATGTCGGCCAATGGTGACTAGCGAATAGCACATCTGACCTGTCCCCATACAGAACAAGCGTCTCATCAAGGTACGAAGCCCAAGCCTTGGCATCACGCACCAGTGCGCCACGCAGGGTGACAATATTGTGCAGGCAATGTGTGGCACACTCGGCAATGAGCAGAGCGTTGTGATCCGGGAAGAAGAAGTTCATTTCGGCAGGCGCTTCCGTCCCAGGAACCATTTGGAACTCGATCCGTACCCCATCGATGGTGCGTGTCTCTCCCGTCTCGTAGATGGTGACATTTGGCGGGATGAGCGATGTGATTCCATTGGAAACTGCCATCCCAAGCCCGCACCCAATTTGCCCGTCGGCAGCTCTAGGCAGTCGTATTCCGTACATATATGCAGCTCGTCGGCGCATGGCGTCACCAAGGTAGATGTTCTCGCTGGTAGCTTCCTCCATGAACCCCTCCGGGGCTATGACTGGGATAGAGGGGTCTGCACTCGCGGCGAGGATCCCCCGTGCACCTCCAAAGTGATCGGCGTGCGAATGAGAATAGATCAAGGCCTTGACTGGTCGATCACCCCGGTGGGAGCGATAGAGCTGCAGAGCCGCGGCGGCGCATTCCACTGAAGTGAGGGGGTCGATGACGACGATGCCGCTCGAGCCCTCGACAAAGGTTATGTTGGAAAGATCAAAGCCGCGCACTTGGTATATACCTTCGGTTACTTTAAACAGACCTTGCATTGAACATAACTGTCCCTGGCGCCAGAGCTTGGGGTCCGCTGTCGCAGGACACTTGCCCTGCATGAAGTCATAGTCATCGTTATTCCAGATCACGCGACCAGCCGTGTTTTTGATGGCACATGGTTTCAAAGTACCGACAAGCCCGCGAGAAGCGTTCTCGAAATCCGTGTTGTCGGAGAAAGAAGGCAGGGATTGAAGAACGGCCATTGTGATAGGTGAGTCTAGTCCTTCCCACAGACATGGCTTCGGTCCATCCTTTTATGCTTTTTTTACTCAATCCAAAATTGCCGACAGCCTCGGTCAGAACCACAGAGGAATTCATTCGAATGTTCCATGTCGTGATCACATTGAATCCAGTCTGGAACTAGGGTTAGATAATCCGACGAGTCGATTGCCCGATGCGGTTACTGCGATCAACGCCCGGATCCACCGAGACGCACGCTATTGGCAGCGCCAATGCTTAGCGTACCACTTACCCCAGGAAACTGTGTCTAACGGGGGCTTATTCCACGGGCATTGTCCGAGGCGACCTCAAGTTGTCAAGATGAGTCGAATGGATCCATAAATTGCGAAATGCGGGGAATGGTCAAAGCACGACAGAGATAAAAAGGAGTCGACAGTATGGCACAGAGCTTGGTCTAAACCAATCTGCACCAAGTCAAGCATGGATAAACAATTCTCAGAACAGATCGAACACAATGTTGACTCTTCGTCAAAGGATGAGGTGGAGTACTCAGCGGCTGAAAGCCGTTATTCTCACAAGGAGCAACGACACATCATCCACAAGGTCGACCGGCGACTCATCACTGCTTTGGGGCTTTTGCTCTGTGTGAGTCTAGTTGACAGGACCAACTTGGGCAATGCTATGATCTCTGGGTACTGTTTCATGCCAATTGCAGTTGTTTTCATGCTAACATAATAATATCAGAATGGAGGAGGAACTGCAGTTCCAGATTGGCTCTCGCTATGTAAGAAGCCAAGATCGCTGGCATTCAAACCGAACCTGACGTTCTTCTTAGGCCATTGTCCTTCTCGTCTTCTTTATTCCTTATGTCTTGTTCCAGTTTCCATTGATTCTACTGAATCGTAAAATTGGGCCTCGGATCTTTCTGTCTGGTATCACTTTGGCATGGGGTATTGTTATGATGGTAGAAGACCCGTGCACCATCCTATCCTCATCATCTTGCTAATTCAATCAGTGTTGTGGCTTCGTGCACAACTGGAAGGTCTTGATTGCACTCCGGGCCCTGCTCGGTTTACTGGAAGCTGGTCTCTTTCCAGGGGCTGTATACGTGCTCTCGATGTGGTACTCTCGCTGTTCGTAATCCATCCCTGTCTGACAGAACAGTATCTGACCACTTATAGATGACATGCATACGAGGTATTCGACATTCTATCTCATCAGTGTGACTGGAGCGGCTTTTTCCGGTCTTCTAGCATTCGGATTCGTCCATATGGGTGGATTAGCAGGTTTCGCACCATGGAGATGGATTTTTATCATGGAGGGACTACTCACTTGCGTGGTAGCAGGCATTGGATTTGTGCTGCTGATCAATTTTCCAGACGAAAACCGTCTGTCATGGAAATTTCTCAGCAAAGAAGAAACCGCTTTTATTGTCGCGCGGATATCTCGAGATCGGCAAGACGCCTCGCAAGAAGTCCACTTTAAGCTAAAGCAATACCTCATGCCAGCGCTGGAACCGAAGGTGTGGGGATTCGGGCTGCTTTTCTTGTGAGCCAATCCCATAACCTATCAAGTCCAAGGGCTAACACATGCTTGCAAGTTGCGCCACAATGGTTTCCTACTCGATTACCTTCTTCCTTCCTATAATTCTAGCCTCCGAGCTAAAATTTCGCACCGAAGTTGCACAAGTCCTCACGACGCCGCCATATTTCTTCGCCGGAATATTCATGTTCGTCCAAGGGTGGCTTGGTGACAAATATCGCATTCGGGCACCATTCATTATCTGGAACAATATTCAAGCTATCATCGGACTGGCCATTCTCGGCTGGGTTACTGTCCCTGGTGTGCAGTATTTCGGGGTCTTTCTGGTTACCTCGGGTTCGAATGCGAACATCCCTGCTGTGCTCACGTATCAAGCGAACAATATCCGTGGCCAGCTAAAGCGAGCTTTTTGCAGTGCCAGCATAATTACTTTGGGTGGTATTGGAGGTGTGGCGGGCTCGTTGGTGTTTCGGACGCAGGATGCGCCGAGGTATCTTCCCGGTGTGTACGCGAATATAGCGTGAGTACTCCCTTTCCTTGAACTTTCTAGCTTAGCTTATTGCTGATCGTTTGATTTCAGAGCAAATATTTTCTCCATTGTGCTGGTTGGTATTCTTACTACTTACTTTGCTGTTTGCAATCGGCGAGCGTCGAGGGGAAGCATGGTTATCGAGGAGTTGCCAGGCTTCAAGTATACGCTGTGAAAAAATCTCCTTGGATATTACTGCGTCGTATTACCAGTCAGACCATATTTTTCTCGTACCTCCCGAGGTCGTTTCACCTCTATCAACAATGTACAACCCGCTTCTTGTAGAATTCTCAATGAAAGAATACAGGTTTAGAATTCAGCAACCCGACTCCGCAACTTACGATCCTCCCAACCCCAAAGTATTCTAAGCATCACCAGCCTCCTCTGGATCATTCAACAAAGTATGCAGCTTACCCCCTGTCCGATTTGCAAGCGCAAGGTATGAACCATCCTCAACGACAGCCCCCTGATCAAGAACAACGACATGATCCGCAATCTCGATCATCTCCTTGGAATGCGTGATAATAATAACCGTAAGACTATGACGTGCGACAACAAGCTGTTTCACCGTCTGGCGTACAACCCGGGCACCAGCAGGGTCCAAACTAGACGTCGCTTCGTCGAGAATAAGGATTTTAGGTTGGCGCAGAAGAGCGCGCGCAATGACGATGCGCTGCTTCTGGCCGCCTGATAGGCCAATACCCCCATCGCCAACGACGGTGTAGTATCCACGTGGGAGTGAGGATATGAAGCCGTCAATGCCGGCAGCGTGGGCAGCCGCGCGGACGGTCTGTGGCGAGGCTAGAGGGGAGTCTTCTAAAATGCCATAACTGATGTTGGCGTGGATTGTCCCCGGAAAAATAGTTGGCTGCTGGGACACAATGGCAATTTGAGAGCGAAGTGTCGGGACGTGGAGTCGCAATATGTCCACGCCTCCGAGTGTCACGGTAGGTCGACCATCTCTGGAAACTGGAGCTTCGTAAAGTGACAGTAAGAGTGATGCGATGGTTGATTTGCCAGAACCAGATCGTCCCACAATTGCCGTGCAGGAGTTACGCTGGATGTTCATAGAGACATCTTTGAGGACAAGCGTGTTTGGTCTGGATGGGTACCTGAAGTTCACGTTGTTGAATTGGATTGGGGTCAAGTCTGTGGCTTTAACGGTCCCAAGATGCTCATGTGACCCAGCCTCCGGGAGTCTGGCAAGGCGGAGGAGTTGTGTTGCGGTTTCACGCGATGTGTTGATCTGAGGAACTAAATATTGTCAGTGATCAGGCGCTTGATTTGAGTTAGGGGGTGTGCGAACTCCAGGAGAGAATCTGCGCGGCATATCCGATGCTGAAAAGAAGCATGGAAAATACCATCATGACATCGTTCACGTTGAATTCGTGAGTTACAAGAACGGCACCGTAGTAGAAGATCAACGCTATACATATTAGGTTAGCCAGAGCTTGGATCCAACTTGGAGTGGCTTACCGCTCGAAAAGACGACAGTCGACTCGACCATTCCGAATAGCATCCCAGTGTATATGGCACGTTTCAGTCCAATTCTGAGACAATTAGTGACAGCTTTAACTTGCTTGCGGTGAAAATATCCCTCGAGAGTTAGTGATCTCACAGTGCGGATCTCCGAGAAAGTCTCCGTGAAGACATCGGATGCAATGCTGTTGGCTTCATTGCAGCGCCTCTCCCACAAACCATTGGTTTCTTCAAATCCCCTGGTAATTACGTAAATGATAGGACCACAGGAGAGCGCCACAAGTGTCAATTTCCAGCAAGCAATCAGACTCCAGATGATAGACATGACCGTGATGGCAGCCGCTACGACGACAAACCCAGCAAAACGGCCTATCAAATTCCGCATATCCTCACCATTCTGATCAAGACAGACAGTGAGCTTTGACGATGCATTGCCTTCCTTGTCAAACCAGGCCCGCGGCTGATTGAGTATCCGCTGAAAAGCAGTATTCCGCAGCTTGTCCATCCATGCCTCGCCGCAAAGTTCCAGAAAATAGTGCATGAAGAACGAGGCCAGACCATCTCCAAAGGAGACTCCCAGAACAGCGAGTGACCATGTCATGGTCAAATGCGCACTGTTTGAGCCGGCATGGAACGTGCTGAATAGTTTTGAGAGACAGTACGAAAATATCGGCGTTGCGCTGGCATGGGCTAATGCTGACACAAAACCGAAGAACAGAATAACTCGCTCGCGAATGGCTAGACTTGGGCCAATGGTGCTCATTATCCGAGTGAGTGAAGTCATCCCATTCCTTCTGCGTGCATGCCGTCCTTTTGCTTTCATCGATCGACGCCGAAAACCCCTGCCACGTTTCAACTGGGAGGGATATCGTGAGATATATGAAATGCGGTTATGGAGGTATCGGTCTGCTCGCGGACCATGCCCATCAATCCGAACCATTTCAAGGCCATCCATAGGCGATATTTCCGGCCTATCAACGGGAATCTCTGGGATCCCACCCCAGAATGAAACCCTCTTGGGCCGACCCGGGACAATATCCAATTCCGGATTTGGTGAGTATATTGAGTTTCTCTTGAGCGCCATTTCCTGTTGGCTGGAAAGATATTTTCTAGAGATCAAAGTTGCACGCCGAGGAAGAGAGAGGCGGAAGTCCTCTGAGCTCTCCGAGTCCTCAGAAGAAGAGCTGTTCCAGTAGAAATCAGGTATAGTTGCACTTTTCCGGCGGGTCTTCTTGTCTGATTCAGGTTGTGCCATTGAATGGAAATACTCTTTACTTCCTGGCATCTTTTCCACTTCATGCCTGTAGCCTGACTGGGTGATCGTGCCGTTCTCCAGGATGTACAAGAAATCCTGCTCATGAATTTGCGACATATCGTGCGTGATAATGATTGTTGTCTTGTTCTTGCGCCATTCTCGAATTGCCTTCATCACTGCCACGCGGTTCGTAAAATCCAAGGCGCTGGTAGGTTCGTCCAGGATCAGGACTGGCGTGTCACGTAGCTTCGCCCGTGCAATTGCCACTCGCTGCCGTTGTCCACCGCTCAAGAAACTTCCTCCGGGACCGACACTGGTATCGATTCGCTTGGGCAATCCATCGATGGTGCTTTGAAGCATAGCCAAGTCAATTGCGTCCTTCACGTCTGACTTGATGACTGGTCCGAGCCCCCGGCGTCCAAATGCAATGTTGGTAAGCACAGACTCGTTAAACAAGCCACTGCGCTGTTCAAGGAGAGTGACGTTATTCCGAATATAGCTCGTACTGAGTGTTTGAATCGAATTCCCATCGATCAGAATATCACCTGATGTGGGAAGATAAAAGCGCATCAACAACTGACTCAACGTGCTCTTCCCGGAGCCGCTCTTCCCAATAACGAAGGTTGTTTCTCCAGCGGGAAAAAAGAAAGTCGATGGTTTGAGAACACACTGATCCGGTGCAGAGGGGTAGTAAAAGGATACCTGAATAGGATAAGATAAGTACCATCCATTTGAGATGCTAGTATGGAAATTACCTACATTGTTGACCTCGATGTCCCCCTCACAGTGGCGAGGATACAGGCTACCTTTCATCTCACTGACCATTTTGCTCTCTGCATGGTAACTTGTGATTGATTTCAGCGCAACACTGGCAACCTTGCCTTTCTCCATGGCGATCATCTGGGGCAAGATTTGCTCAATAGATTGTGCGGCAGTCAGGCAGGCCCAGAAAGTCCTCAGCACTTCTCCCGAAGTAAGCTTGCCGGAACGAGCGAGCGTGCTGCCATACCAGAACCCCTGAACAAACATGCCGAACATCATCCACCGGATGAATGAAATTTGAAGGGAATTCAAACGTGCTTGTCTCAGATAGTGCCTGGCGGACCCGTCGATACACCAGGAAAAATTATGTGACTCCAGAGACTGGCCGTTGAGACACTTGACCGTATCGATAGAGGCGATGGCATTGTTGGCTATTTTGGATGCACGGGTCAATTCGACTTGCTGTGCTTGGATGCTGGATTTCATTCTGATGGAGAGCAAGGCGATGACGGATGAGAAGATGGGAATTCCGGCGAGCGTGACAAGAGACAGGCTCCATGAAGTATAAAGCCCAAGCCCGAGCGATGCAATGGATCGAAACGAGTACTGGAGAACAAGTCCGAGGGGCTGCGAGGTCGCCATCTGCAAATCATGGATATTACTTGTCATATAGTTAGAAAGATCTCGAATATCAATTTACTGCGACGAAGCTTACGCTTGGATCCCAGAGAGGAAAGCGCCAGAGCCCTCTTGCTGGGCTTCAAACCATTCGACATCCCGTTTGAGCAGCTCAATGAAGACATTATCACGAATGCTAGACGCCTGAAGTTCACCAAATGCCACAAATAAGGCATAGTATGCACCATTTAAGAACCAACCGGCGACTCCCAGCCCGACCATCCCAAAACAGTTTGAGACGATGCTGTCTTGGAGTCTTTGAGCGCTGCTCTGTCCGGCTCCGAAGGATGTGAACGAATCGAAGATATTGCCTAGAAATATGGCAAAGGCAGGAGTGATACAGCTGGCAACTAGAGCGAAACAAGAGCCAGCTACGAGAGTTGGCAAATGCCTTTTCGACGTAAATCCGAAGAGCGATTTCCAGCTCGGCTGCATCGGACTGCGGTCAGCACCAACGTTGTTGGAATCCTCTGAATTTGCAGTCATCGTGGCAGACAGTCAATTTCAAGGCTGATAAGCACTGTGGATAAACAGTGTACACATTGGAGATACCAGGCTAAAGGCGGATGGCTGCTCGCGATGGAGAGAAACATGAGTAAAACAGCTACCCCGAGATCGATGCGCCTATACGCAGGATATAATAGTCCATGTTTAGTATTATCAGAAGAACAATCATTAGAGATTTCCACGTTCGGCATATTGAAGGGCAACGGTAAAGGCGTTTCTTTGTCCTCCGGCCATTGTTCTTGAATCACGTGACGTCGTACAAATTCGAGTCAAGACAAGATGAAATGAAAGCAAAGGGAAAAAGAACGTTTTATTTCTGGGTATCTGATCAGCCCAGCTCATGATTGCCTACATCTGAGACAAATCCGAGTCTCTGCTGCATCGTGGATTCTATGACCAATCAGAAACACCTTTCTATACACCACCCAGAATCCAAGTCGCGGCCTCGGAACCAGTCCGTGCCCGCGCTGCATAGAACAATGAACATGCCGTCAGCCGTGTAGACTGGTGGGTGCCTGCATGTGGCTGCCTTCCAGAACAGCCAGACGTGCCCGTCTTCGAAATCATGAGCTTGCCTTCTGAGCCTTCTCGTAGACCCAGTCGTTCAGGCCCGCGCGATTGCTAGAACCAGCACCTATTAGCTTCTGATTTTTAAAGATGTCCATGAGTTGATACTTACCGTGCGATCTCAATAGCATAGAACTGCATGCGAACACCTTGTCCCCATTGTCAGCCCCTCGCTTCTCACGCAGTAAACCACATCCGAAAAAACCTCCGACTCACCGAAAATCGTGGTGTCCTGATCATACTCTGCATCGGCCCGAGTGCGAATTATGGTTCCAAAGTTGAAGTCCTCGATCTTCTTCTCAAATTGATTGACCCAGTTCCGCCACTTCTCCTTGCCGGCTTTGCTCTTCATTTGATCCTCGTCGATTGTGGCGGCGGGATCAAAATCAGGAAATTCGGCCATGAAGCTATCGTAGATCTCGGTGTCCATTTTTGTCAGGCGTAGCTGCGACCCTTTCACTTTCTCCAGGATGGACCAGTACGTCATCAGGTGTTCCACGGCTGCGATGACGGGGGTGTTAGTATATCTGTTCAATCGACGAGAACTTAGGACCCAGTCAAGACGAACCCTTTACTGCGAACTGCTTCTCCATCTGTACAAGTGGTCAGCATCAGCGGTCAAAGTCAACCGGGTCTGCGAGCAAGAGAGTGAGGGCTGGGGGACGCACATCCTCCAGGTTCTCGGCCTGCTCGGGGTCAAATGGCTTCGACATGCTGGCGGTGGTGTGTATGTAACGCTTAATCAGAAGAGAAAACTTCAAGGTCGAGTATGAGTTGAGTGAGTGGAAAGTGAAAGTGGTCGTGCCCCACGATCATTTTTTCTGCCGAAAGAAATGTCGCCGCCCGCTCCTCCGCTCCTTACGTCATTCGCGAAGTATAGATCTTACGTTTTTGTTTACATATTTACTTCACTTTAGTGAAAAAAAAGCCGGAGGAAATTTTATGCCTGGGTCTCATATATCTTTAAAAATACACTTCGTATTCAACCAGCGTGCCAGAGGCTGAACAAGCTTCTCTCTTTGTTCTCTCCCTTTGGTGCGTGTGCGGTTTGCATAATTAAGGGCAAAATTATCACAGATCTAGTGGTATCTTTATTATTAAGCCTGAGTAGGTCTCGGATTAGACAAGGCTTTCTAGCCAAAAAAAAGTCCCATAGAGAGAGTAAATTATTGGCCAACCCACAATGCACTACAGGAAAAGAGGGGCGCTAGCTGGCTTTGCCCGCAGAGAAAATAAGGCCCCCCAAACACGGCTAACCCTCCCTGCTTTTAAGAGGATGGCACCTGCTTTCTCTCAATGCTATTGTTGTTCATAATGAGGCCCGTCTCACACGGTTTTGCTCGCTTAACGACGAAATATAATTCTACTGCGCTTCATTTCTTTCTCTTCTTCCTCTTGTTCTACGCTTTCCTTGCCCTATTTGTGCGAGCCCAGTCAGCCCGCGACCCGGACTCGGTTTTCTTCCAGCCAACTGCCTACGATCTGTCCTATTCCGCCCTGAGACTCGAACAAGCTGATGTCTTCATCGACAAAGTGGAGCAGCAGAGCTCAGAGATAGAGATACCGAAAGCCTCGAGTCAGCCACATCTGTGTGTCGGCTTCGCCACCATCGCCCGCTCAGGGCGTCGCTATTTCAGGAGCGCCGTCGGCACAGTCCTCGAGGGCTTAAGTGAAACGGAGCGCGCGGACATATACCTGATTACACTTATTGCACACACCGACCCACCGCAACACCCAGCATATAATGAGACATGGCTACACAAGGTGGTGGATCGAGTACTACTCTATAATTCCACAGGCGTGGATATAGACGTTGACATCGACTATCTCCGCAGCCTAGAGGCTACAGAGAAGAAGATGGATGCAAAATTGAAAGCCCTCTTTGACTATATATTCTTACTAAAGGCGTGTGAGGCAGTCGGTGCTCCTCATATTGTCATATTAGAAGACGAAATCGTCGCACAGGACGGATGGTACCACCGAACTCGAGCTGCTATAGAGTCGGCAGAGGAACAGACTCAGGAGATTAAGGCATCAAAGTGTGAGAAACCCTTTCATAATACCGCATAGATCTAGTCTGACTACATCTAGGGTTGTACCTTTGTCTCTTCTATACTATCCTTGGCTGGAACTCTAGAGACTGGCCTATCTTCCTCTTCTACTCCGTCATCGCCATCGCCTTTGTCGCTTCTTCGTTTCTCGGCTATCGGCAATATCAACCAAGTTCGCGCACTATTATCTCGAATGAAATAATACTTATTGCATGTGGAGTCTGTACACCTCTTTTAATCGGGCTCTACTTTGCCGCAGGACGGGCGACAATGTGCCCTATCCCACAGGGCGTGCACCAGATGCCACACTACGCCTCCTGCTCTCAAGCTTTCGCCTTTCCACGGACACGAGTCTCCGATATTGTAGGTTGGTATAGTGAAAAGGGTATTAGAGAAGCGAATAATCTTCTGGAGGAGTTTGCGGACAATAAGGAGATCCGTTGGGCTGTGACACCAAGCATTGTACAACATGTCGGACGGAATAACTCTAAAACGAACAAAAAAGGTTCAGTGGCAAGGCTGTGGAATTTTGAATTTGAGATGAATGATCCAGATGTCCTGCGCGAAGAGCATGATCGCGCCAACAATCAAGGATATTCCCATTTCCTGGGCACTTAGCATTGATACACGTGCCCACCTACACCGCAAAATGGAGAATTTCAATACATTTTCCGTTCTAATATCGACTTCAGTTTCTCTTCTATGCTTCTTCATCTTACCTACAATCCCCGCCATTTTCTGATAAAGAACCCAGCGCCCTTGATGGACACACCAACAAAGCAAGCAATTTAGATTGGTAAAGAATCTGGCCCTGAAGCACCTGGAAGGTGCTCTAAAACGTGTTATTAGCCGGCCCTGCCCTCAACCCTGGCCAATAGTCGTGAGGTAGCGCGGCAGTTTGGCGCTGGCAACTCCTGGATGCTTCTGAGATTGCGAGAAAGGCCCGATGCCTCAGCATTACGTGACTATGAGATTCACCAGGAGGGATTTTAGGGTCATTTATTTAATCGTCTACATGGTATTATGTGTGCCTATAAAATTGCCGGTAGCCGTGCGAGAGGCCGAATCCCATCTCATCTTGCGGCTAACCTAGGATCGCTATTACTAGAAGAAATCAACGTATACCGCCACTAAATGTAGAATTCCTTATAGTCTTGAATAGTTATAGTCCACACTATAGGTCTATCGATTATTTATATCCGAAAAAGGCCCCTACTTTCGCTAGAGCGGGGATGCGTGCCCAAACCACGTCGAACTCAATGCAAAGGATAGAAGAAAGCTGCTTGTGCTTAAGAGCCAGAAATCGACTCAAAGGCAAATTGGATCACAGTTCACTCATCTTTATATACTTTCCTACGACGGCCTTGAATGGATATAAAGCCTTCTCAGAGATGCAGTAGATTATGGGTTGTTCTTCAGTCGTAGCATATTCGAATATTAATAGATTGTAATATGTTTGCGTAACTATAACTTACTCTTTAGTGACGAGAGCTTAATCTAATGTTTTGCCTTAAATTGACACTGGACTTTTAGTAAACCCAAGATAGTGCATAGCCTCTGTAGACACGAGATCCCCAGCAACGTGACGGATTCCGTAATCTATGAAGCCGCGAACCCATCACTCGGAGACTAAAGCCCCGCACTTCCCTACTTTGAGGGCAGCAATACAAACATAAAGGCCGATCTCTCTTCGATTCTAACGACCAAGAATTCATTGCATGAAGCGAAATCTGGAATCTGGACCTCGCTCGTCTTTTTATATACCACCGAAATTTGCGTGCTATTGAATGGCAAGGTATTTAAAACTTGAGATTATCACCAGCTCCCAGTTATTGCCTAATACATTGCTCTCAAGTGATCGAAAACAATTCCTATGGTCAACTATGGCACACTTCCGAACTTTGATTTGGGTCTCGTTGACCCATTGACCCCGCGTCGTTGTCCAGTGACGGATCTATCCGCGCACCCCGCCATTCTATCCGTCGGCTATAAGTAGCCCTTCCATAGATTTATCTGAAGAGGGTCGGTTAATTGTTATCGATCCCGTCAGAGTCGGCGCCTTTACCGGAAACTTTTTCTTAAAGGCAGACATTTCACAATATTTCCCTTCTTCAAACAGCAGTTTTCTCGCATCTCGCGCGACTTTAAATTGCACCTCGTGTGCGCTCCAATTTTTCTGAACAACTATGGCTGGTGAATCGAAAGTTGTTGTTCAGCTTCGAGATGGGCCCATCCATGCTCTCCAAAGAAAAGGACTGGTTATCGCTCGCGGTGTGAAATACGCCGAAGCTAGACGGTTCGAGCCTCCGTCGCCTTGCCAAAAGTGGGATGGTATTCTCGACTGCACAAAGCCGGCCACTATCTGTCCCCAGCTGCCTTCGCGCCTTGAGATCATAAATGGCCCGATAGCTGTAGGAAGGACTATGGACGAAGTCTGCTTGCACGTCAGCGTTTTCTCTCCCTCACACACTCCCTCCAAGGCAGATGATTTGATACCTGTCATGGTCTTTCTACACGGAGGTGGCTACTCGTCAGGAGCAGGTGACCTTGACTGCTATAGTGGTGCCTCGCTTGCTTCTATGAGAGTAGTAGTCGTTAACATCACCCACCGACTGGGGATCTTCGGATACCAGCCCATCGAAGGAATCGTGCCACCAAACCTTGGCATCCTCGATCAAATTGCAGCACTTCGTTGGGTCCACGACAATATCGAATTCTTTGGTGGCGACACTAACAGGGTTTGCCTATTTGGGGAGTCAGCGGGTGCGGATTCAATCTTCTGTCTAATGGGCTCGGATGGCGTTGAAGGTCTTTTCCATCGTGCTATCTTGCAGAGTGCTCCGTGGGCGTTCCGATATATGGACCAATATAGCCGCCAGAACATGGTGGAGTCACTGTCGTCGATGGGTGGGGATCTCCTGTCAGAAAATCACGATACTGCATCGATAGAGGAACTTTTGAGGGTACAGCAAAAGCTCATGATTGCAGCAACGTCTTTTCCCACGGCAGTGATACCGTTTGGGCCCATTCTTGGGCATTCACCCCTCCCGGAGAAGCCAGAATTTGACGCAAGGTTGGAGGCGGCCATTCGCAACGTGCCGATGTTTATCGGCTACACAAAAGACGAGGGCCAGGCGTTTGAGGGAATGTTTAATCAAATGAGGCCTGTGCCTGAAATCCCTGCTGGAACCACTGTCGCTGGGTTTATTTCCAAGAACTGGTTCCAGGACCCAGCGGAACAGTTCTATAAGAGAATCAGAGAAGCTGGTGGGCATCCGTGGCTTTACCAGTTTAACCTGGCGCCCGATCAGAGCCAGTTCGGTGCAATCCACACAATCGACATGCCCTTTCTGCTGGGGACATGGGATGACTGGAAAGAGGCGCCGATGATGAGCGGACGAAATGCACAAGAACTCGTTGAAAGGGTTGGGCCAGAAGTCAAGAAGCTCTGGGTAGCGTTTGCCGAAGGACTGGATTCTGGTTCCGCACAGTTTGTCATTGATGAGCACTTTACTTTTAGCAAATAGAAAACGATGCTGTTACCTTTCTTTTCCCACCGCTATAATTTTGACCCTAATGATACCACCACACAGCGGTCAAGCAATCTTGATCCTAAAAGTCATTACGCATGGTTCTATCGGGCCAGCCCAAGGCCGTTAACGAGGTCCTGGTGGACACTAGAGAAGGTGTAGGAAGTCTTACGAACGATGGACAAGGAGTAAGGGCATGCAGTTTGAACCACCAAGCAGCGAACCTACCCACTTCACAAGAGCGCGGACACTGTCATCCGACCAAGTACGGTTTGATGGTATCAGAAGGAACTGCAGACTTCGGTCTGCTTCCTAAGAGTATGGCTAGATCGGAAAACTCCAGGAAAGCACACCTAAAGGAGGTCCAGCGGAAGCTCTGGGATTATCCCTCACAAAAAACTCTCGGGAGGTCTATACGAAAGTCATACGATCATCAATTGCGTACGGAGCCACAGACTTCTACAAAGCAACGGAACCCGGAGGCTAGCCGCAAGTCGCCGCTAGGACGCTCCTCGCAGAACAGACACGGTGCCTCCTCACAGTGGCAGGAGCATACAAGGTGACAGAAACTAGAACCATCGAGACAGAGCTGTATATACAACCGCCGGGTCTTCACCTCAATGGGCAGATTTCGCAGTTAAAGAGGTGGGAGCGGACTCTGGCACGAGGACGGGCAGGGACGGACCTGACGTATCACGGGAAACCCCGGCCCAACCCGCGTTTTGGGGAGGGGGGTCGGTCCACACACACCTAGGGTATCTGTAGACTGTCGGCTTGGACACCGCAGTCCATTTTGCCTGGAACGACCGAGAGATTTTAGACGACAGATCAGACTTCGAGAGTAGCACTTGACATTCCGGAGAGAGAGACGGACCGAAGTTTAGTGTTGATCGCGGATGGCTTCCGGATGAGATGCCACCCCCAACTCACCTTCTCCTCCTGAAATTCTGCGGGGGTATATCCTTGCCAGTCCGCTACATTTGACATCCTTGCGCAACCATTGATTGAGGATGGAGACCCCCAATAACTTGAAGCTGGCGCCCAGCCAGGTCGACGGTGCGAAACCGGCCCCTAGAGAGCTCATTGAGCCGGACCTTAAGGAGTACTCCGCAATTCTTCGTAAAGTGGACTGGCACATTGTCCCCATCATGCTCGCGTGTTACTTTCTAGAATTTCTTGACAAAGTCCTCATCAATTACGCAGACGTTATGGACCTACAAGAGGATTTAGGCATGACAGGAGATCAGTTCAGCTTAATGGCAACACTCTTTTTCGTCGGTTTCGCAGTGGCCGAAGTACCTCAAGGTTACCTTCTACAGGCATTTCCTTTGGCAAAGGTACTGGGATTTAACTTACTATGCTGGGGAATCCTCGTCGCTTGCATGGCCGCGGCCCAGAACTACGGCCAAATCCTCGCGATTCGCATACTGCTCGGCGCCTGCGAAGCTGTCATTTCGCCTGCATTGGTTTTAATTACATCCACCTGGTACACAAAGCGCTGTGCGGCTCCTCGCTATGGGATCTGGTAGTAAGTACTGTATTCTTTCTTGTTATTACTATGATGATAGGATACTAACACTAGACGTCACTAGCTGCGGTCTCGGTGCTGGCCAGATCATTGGAGGGCTTATCTCATTTGCAGCTCAGCATAGCCCGGAGAATGGGCTCAGCGGATGGCGTATCATGATGATTGCAGTTGGCGTTTTCAACATTTGTATCGCACTTGTAGTCATCATCTTCCTTCCTTCAACTTTGGACTCGGCCAAATTCCTCACATCGACTGAGAAAGAATCGCTCCGACGCATGCTTGTTCTCGATCAAGCAGGTAACGGACTGAAGGTCTTCAAGCGGAAAGGTCTCTGTGAAGTTTTCATAGATCTGCAAGTCTGGCTATTGACTCTCCTTACTGCTCTGACGGTTATCCCGAGCGGTGTCATTACGACCTTCTCGGCAATCTTGGTCAAAGGGTACGGATATAATTCCAAGCAGTCTGCACTACTCAATATGCCATCCGGAATCGTCAGCATCATTGCCACTTGCGGGTCAACATACGCCGTCCTTAAGAAAACACCACGCTGGATCAGCATAATTATTGTCTTAGCGCCTGCCCTTATCGGTGCAGGTCTAATGTCGTTTCTCCCACAATCCAACCAAGGCGGAAAATTGGCCGGAATTTACCTCCTCAATACCACCGTTGCCCCAATGGCGCTCATTTACTCCTGGGTGGGAGCCAACACTGCTGGATATACGAAGAGAATAGGAGCCAACGCAATGATCGCGGTTGGATTCAGCATTGCCAATATTATTGGGCCACAGACCTTTCAAGCCAAGGATGCGCCGCAGTATACCCCGGCCACAATCACTCTATTTGCCGTCCTCGGGGGCGCAATGCTTGTCTCCGCCCTCCTCAGGCTACTATACGCATACCGCAACGCATCGACCAGGAGACATCGACACGAGCAACTTGCAAACGGGGTTGTGGACTCGGCGATAGTAACGGAAGATCAAGAGGATCTCACGGACCTAGCGAATCCGGCGTTCATCTACGTGTACTAAGCATAAGCTGCGCTGTCATAGGGAAGAATAGCATATAATTATTATCAATCTTACTTTGTCGGCCTAACACGAAGGCCGTGTGAATCGAGCCTTCCATCCAGGCGAAGACCACATGTTTTCCTTTTGTGCTTTATTGCTCGCAACTTGGAGTCTACGCGTGCTATATACGGACTTAAAAAACGGAAAGGGACGCCGATACAAATTTTATAATGGTTTTGTTCAGGAGACGGAAAACTGGATCTCTCATTCGCTCCGAGTAGAGTTATATCAGCGGCATAAGTAAAACTCATAGAGAACCATTGCGTCGCTGTGTTCTGCCCGTCTCAATTAAGTCTTCGAGTTCCTCGCAGACTTTCTGGGGTAACTCGACACTCGGGAAGTGAGTTTCACCTTGCAAATCCGCGTATGAAAACCATGGATGTGCCTTGGAAAAACTGTCGTGCAGCTGCCGGTACTCAGGCATGTCGAGCGGATGAGAGAAGATATGGCGTATTGGTGGAGGATTAACCATCCTTCGCATCCGATCCATTGGAGACCCGTTAGCTTGGTAAGCAGCCGCAATTACGCGACATGAAAGCGCCCACATCTGGTGTCCGTAGCTGCCCATGCAGTAGGTCAAATGGTCATGGACCCCCGTGTGGCTGCTTGCCGCCAGCCAGTGATCAAAGAGGTTCTTACGTGCTGCTAACCAGGTCTCCGGTGTCTGCATGGCCTCTAGTCCGGCTGCAAACTCCTGTGGAGGGGGGCTCATGATCTGATCGATCATCAACAGTCGAAGGACTTGGTCCTTGCCCAACTGGTCTGCGATTTCCAGTGCTGGCCATCCGCCATGCGAGTGCGAGACCAGGTAGAATCGATCAACTCCGAGTGCCTGCAAAAGGCAGATGGTGTCGTTGACTTGCTCGTTCACGCCGAAGTCGTCTGTATAGTCCCGACTGGGGCCATGGCCACGCCAATTGATACGGATGACTCGATGATTGCCAGCTAGGTAGGGAAGCATGGCATCGTAAAGACGCAGGTCGTGTGCCCAGCCTGATACTAGCACGATCGCTGGGCCGTCGGCATACCCGGACTCATCATAGCATATCTCGACTTTGTTGATTGTTTTGGTGAGATACATGGTGTCGATGAGGAGCGGTCGTTGTGGCCAGGAGGAAACAAAGGTGCAGGTGCCTAAGTAGCTGTGATATCACCGATAGCCATGTTCAAATCCCCACTCGATGTCTTTCTTTTCGCGGGGAATCAGCTCGGCCCGCCGATCCGTTCGTCTTCTGTCCATTGAATACTAGAAGGACTGTGCTAACTACAGAATTACCTGAATTGGCTTAGTTTCCACGGTCCGGATCACCGCCAACGGCCCGGCATCCGAAGTCCAGTAAGTTCCAGTGATAAGCAGTGATAAGGCTACATTCAAGCCTTCTCAACTCTCAGATACACCGTGCTAATTCTGCTCCTGATCTGCACCTTTCACTGATTCGAGAAACAAGCAGCATGCCACAACCGCCTATCATCATCGTCGGGGCAGGCATCACAGGGCTGGTGCTGGCGCAAGCCCTCAAGAAGCACTCCATCCCTTGTGTTGTGTACGAGAGGGACCCCGATCCGTTGTATCGAGGCAAGGGCTGGGGCATCACCATCCACTGGGCCCTCAACTCGCTGATGGAATGTCTACCTCGTCACATCTCCGATCGCCTGTCGGAGGCTTACGTGGATCCTGAAGCGAGTCGCAACGGCGAGAATGGTCACTTCTTGTTCTTCAACTTGCGCACCGGCGAGGGCGCTTTGGCAAGTGCCGCCTAGTAAAAGAATTCGTATGGCCCGTGAGAAGTTCCGAAAACTTTTGATGGACGGCATTGAAATCCAGGTATGTATGAGTATAGCCCCAACTCAGCTCAACCTAACTCTAATTGTTTTGTCCCACCCAGTGGGAACACACTTTCGAATCTTTTGAGACTGCAGATGGTGGCGCAGTGAGAGCGAAATTCTCCGTTCCCAATGGAACGCACACGGCTGAGGGCTCGATAATTGTCGGATGCGACGGCTCCCATTCTCGCGTTCGCGCTTCTCTCTTTCCTAACCCATCAATGCACGAAAATTATCATCTGCCGGTCCGACTCCTCGGCGTGAGTACAATATATCCCGGCAAGCTTGCCGCCAAAATGCGCGCGTTGGATCCCTTTTTCTTTCAAGGTGGTGATCCACTTACGAGTGCGTCCCACTGGTTTTCATTTCTGGACAGCGCAGAGACAAGCGGCCGCGGCGATGATACACGAGACTGCCAGATCCTCGTCTCCTGGCCGCACCGCCGGGGCTTTTTAGGCGAGGATACACCGTTGGACGTTCCCGCGAAGAGCCGTGACCGTGTGGCGTTCATGAAGAGGGTGGCCAGCGACTGGGCGGACCCGTTTCATGAGATTGTCCAGTCCATCCCGGAAGAGGCGGAGCCGAAAACAATATCACTGGAGGACTGGGTGCCGCCACGCGACCAATGGACGACTATTCCTGGATCCGACCATGTTGTACTGGTTGGAGATTCTGCGCATACCATGACAATGTACAGAGGCGAGGCGGCAAACCACGGTATTTTGGACGTGGAATCGCTCTTGTCGGCGATCTTGCCAGCGCTGAGGGCAAGCGATGATCGACTTGGGGATAGCCTGAGGGAGGCGTGTAAGATCTATACGCAGGGAATGGTTGATAGAACAGCGCCAGCAGTCCTGAAGAGTCGCCAGGCGTGCTTAGACGCCCACGACTATGAAAGGATAAATGACAACAGTCCTTTGATACAGATGAGGGCTGCTGTACTACAGGAGCCGAAGCTTAACAGTGAACCTGTTTTGGTTGTTTGAGGTTTTTGATAGATAGTCATATTCACGACATACTTCTCTTCATTACAGATATCTGGTTGGTTGATTCGCGTAGGGAGTAACTGCCTACGAAAATATACTTGGCGGAATGATCTGATCAAAAACAACGCACCTTTCGGGGAAGATGACTGTACGTTGTATAACTGGCGTTAGATATTTCTGTTCTCGGTCACGCTATGAAACTATTTGATCAATGGGCAACATCAACGTTGCATCACCAAAAAGGTTCGCCGACGGCGAATCTTCCAAAGTCATTGACAGCGAAGGGAGGTCGGGAAAGACAAACTCGCCGATGTGCATTGTTTGGTCCACCCCAGCATCGCTGTCTGACTCCTCGCTCCGTGGAATGTTCGGTGCCGAGAAGGCAGTGGAAACAGACTCATTGCGGATAAAATTCTGTGACAGCTTGTGTCGCTTTGGTTGGTGTTCCAGAGGCTGCGACCCTTGACCCATATCGGTACCCGGTGAACCTTCGTGGCGCTCAGCTTGTTCCCCTCCTCTCTTACCGGCTGTCTGTTGCCCGTAGCGATCAAATAATCCATGAAACAGCTCGTGCCTATTGAAGTCAATCTGCGTACGCTGCATATCTCCCTCAATAAGCTGCTGGTATTTCCTAATCTGGGGCCACTGGATGTCAATCTTGCACAACATGTCAAAGCCCGTCTCGACATCGCGCCAGGCCTTGGCGTTGAACGCCACGTTCCGGGCCAAGCGCATACAGTGCAAAAGGACTTTAGTACTGGCGTAGACCGCGCGGCTCTGCTGCACCACGAAATGGCAAATGGGAACGTTCGCAATAACCCGCGGTGTGGCCTGGATACAGTTGGATGCGGCTTCCGCGCAGCGGAGAAATGCTTCCGGATCTGCAGCGTTAAACTGCTCAATGGACGTCCGGTAGAGAAGGACGACACCGATGTAGTAGGATGATACGGCAATGGTTTGTAGCGCTGGTCTCACTTGACTGCTTGGCTCCTCCATTTTCGGAAGAACCTGCTGGTTAAAATAATTTTCCAGTTCGGCATCATATCTTTTCGTGCACGCCCGAAGTGTATCCCACATCTTGTCATCCTGAGCTCGACGGGACTTGCGGATCCATCGTATCGACCGGTAAATGCGGTTTATGGTAATATGAAAATCTGCAATAACTGAGAACCAAGGGTCTGTCTTGGCCTCAAGCCCCAGTGCGGGACAGTTGTCCTCGTCGTAGTATCTCAGGTCACTCTCCGTATCAGAAATCGCCAAGGGCTTGGACAGAGCCGTCGACAGAGAGCAGTCCAGAATATATAAGCACCACCAGACATTGCCGCGTGGGTTCCAGGTCTCGCCTATGTCGGGCGCTCCGTCTGCGCTATCTTCAAGCTCCTCCAGTTCCAACCTTTGATATAGGTGGACTGCGTGACCCGCGATGGCCCATGCCCCACTCACGTTACCGATCTCGATCAGGTAGAGACTGAGAAGGCCGAGCGCGATGGCGGCGTTGATGGAATGTTTCCCATCCTGCTGAAATGGCAATCCTGGGCACTTGAAAGTCGCATGGGAGTAAAGCAGATCTCCAAGGTTTATGCGCTTGTAGATTTGCAGGCCTGGTTGGTCAAATATCGTGTGGTCTGCTGGGATGGCCGCCGCCGCTACAGCGAGTAATGCGTATAATAGAAAAGGAAACCCGCTGCCATCGCCATCATCACTTCGGCCCATGGACAACCAACGATCAAATTGCCATTGAAAATCATGTTGTTGAATAATAGGGAATATTGGGTAGTAAGAGGAGTAGAATGCGTCAACCAGAGCTTGCATCAGTGGCTCCGTCAATCCGGTCACGTTGACTGCCGTGAGTTCTGCTTCTTCATGGGGTGTAGGATCCGGGATATCCTCCAGCAGAGCGTCAGCGCCGTTGAGAGGAAGACCGCCCAGTCGATTACCGTCATAACCCTCGGGAGGAGGCGACTGGGATGTTAGCAGCGGCGTATCTGGCAACCCTGTACTTTGCACACCCTGGAGCTCTTCTGTCGGATAGGGAACCACAACGTCATGTCCTGGCCGACCTTCTGACACACCAGAAATCCGATTATTCTCTCCTTCTTGCTGGCGGGTTAGCTGCATCCGTAGTGTTTGTTCCATCAGTTGGATTCGATTCTCGAGCCTCATGACGTATCTATTGCGGGTTAGTTAGGTATCCTTCGTGCACTATATGCATACATAATGAACCAGAGACATACAGTGGATCCGCCGACCCTGCCTTGTTGCTCGGCTCCACATAGACGCATGCTGCTTGCTTTCGGCTGCAACTTTGGCATGGGGTCTCTCCATCACACTTTATTTTCTTGCGGCGGCATGCCTGACAGGCACGCCACACTCGCTGACGCTCATGCATGGATGTTGTGACGTGCACTTAGATTGTAGAGTACAGGGAGTGGTGCGGAGAAGACCAGAGGGGCGGTGGGCAAGACCTGGAGATAAGGGGAAGTGATCCGCCCGATTAGAATGGGCCTAACCCTATTTGAAGTAGATGGATAAGAGGGGGCTACGATAAGGCGAAAATTTCCAGAAAATGAGTATTCTTTAGGACTCCACTGCGTGGTAGAGGTATTGTTTATCACTATGTAGCCAGTTCGATACTATGTCTCCGCCTAACCCTAGACAAAGGACGGAAGAAATATGTCCATGACCCACGGCTTTTCATCTCAACGGACCGAAAAGAAACACACAGCATGGACGACTGTTGCAATCAAAGCGCCCGAAACCATTTTCAAGTCCCCCTTTCCAAGACCAATCGCAACGTCCGCTGCTTGAACAGCCGCGGAAGCCCCGACCACCAGCGATACCAAGGGTCCGTCAAAGTAGCACGGGAGGAGTCCAGCTAATAGCTCAAATGGTATCGTACGCGCGGAATACATGCGCTGATAGAAACGCTCGCCGTCGGTCACGTGGGTCGACCCGGAGAGAGCGCCTGGGTTGGCGGCTGCGATCACTCCTGCCGCGGCGGAAGCCAAGGAGGCGAGAAGATTCAAGCCGAGGAGACAGCGCATAGCTGCTAGCAAGGCGAGAAGGTTCAATGAATGAGGAATAGATTCGAAAGATGGGTAGTCTCCGAGAACAGTAAGCAGATCAGGTCACTCAGGGCCGTGCTCAGTTTTACTCAGGGAACGAGGGTGAGCACTAAAACGGAAAGAGCTACGCCAACGAAATGCCAGGCAATATCTGATCTATATGTGCACGCCCACACATAATTTAATACATTGCAGCACTTCTCCGTTCGTCTTGTAGGATTCGGATAATCGAGAGCACCTAGAAAGTGTTACAAAGCATCATCTTCTCCGCGCTTCTGTCAAGGGCTAAGTCCTGCTCCCCGGCCGAGAACTTATCAAAAGTCGGAATCGCTGTTGCTAGGTACCTACAAGTTCTTACTATGGGCTCGACCTATATTCATTGAATCCGAGCTTCATTTTATACCCAAAATAAGATCAATTCATTCCATTCGATTAAGCAAATGTGTGCATCTATATCCAATCACAACATCGATATTTTGGATCGAAAAAACACTTCTAGAAAAAGATTTTCGTAGCAATCACAATGTTTATTCGTATATCACTTGCTGGATCGCTCGTGGTGTGGGGGCAATTGTTCTCCGCATCAGCCCCACACTCGGACAGGCGGGGCAGGAACTTATAGAGAGTGACGCATTTAAAAATGTTAAGACAAAGGTAGTACTAAGAAGTAAGTATGTGAGATATGCAGCTTACGGAAGAGAGTTAGATTGTGATGCGCAGTTTCAACTTATGTATATCCTCATATGTACAAGTGCGATGGATGTAGTAGTCCTATGGATAGATGTCTACTCCCAGATGAACAGTGATGCCACTCCCATACTAGTACTAGAAGCGAGTCTCATTCAAGGATTAAACCTAGAAGTGGAGGGACCTCATCTGGCACACATTCTGACAATTCCCCATCTCTTTACCTGGTCTCTGAAGTTCGGCCAGCAGAGTGGCAACTTGCCTACCTCCAGTGGCTCCAGCTAAGTGCCAAAGGGCAATAGCACTACCATTTGGCTTAATTCTGTCCACACTAAGCCTCAGCTCTCTGGGCCAGTAGATTGACTAGCTGGCAAAAGACTCATTCAGCTCAACAATGTCGACGTCTTTGTTTCCAATACCCAGGTACTTGCACAGGTTTTGTATCGCGAAGGTGGGTCCAACGCTCATCTCGTTCGTGCACATCCAGAAACCCGAGTACCGGCAAACCGAGAAATGGGCTTCAATCCATGGATTTTGGCCCAGGAGCGACGAGCGAAGATGGGGCTCGATGCAAAATCAGAGACGTAAGATCTATTAAGTAATAGGCCGCATTAATACTGCTGACTCGTAAACAGACTTCCAGGGCTTACGAGTTCCCAGCAGTACTGAATCCACCGTCGAGCATAGACGTGAGAGCCGCCAGCTTGTTAACGGTCACGGCGTGGCGAACTCTCCCATTGACTCTCCACCACTAACAGAACCCCCCTAACACTGACGGCCTCACTCGAATAGGCACAATCTCGGTAGCAAACCTGCCCGACTTTTGCGCCTCGCTTGCGGCGGACTCATCTTGCTCACGCCGACTAATCCCACAGCCCGACGCAACGTTTTACGACCTTTTCCGCATAAAAAGATATCACGCTGCATACTTCTCAAACTGAGCTCATGTGGGGCCGAGCCCACCTGCAGATCGAGCAGTGGGCCTCTCCACACTTGGGAAATAAGCAAAAGCATGTGTGATTACTTAGGAAAGGAGCTTGGGAATCTCAATCAAAGACATTGCTTGGCCTGAATTCCAATTCTCAATGAACGGTTTCTGGGCTTCAGGGACAGCCTTAGTGGCGCGAGTAGCCCCTGCCCTGACATGCCTAGGCAGGTTAGGAGTCGCCCGAGGATTGGCGACGACCCCAAAAGCATTGCAATTACCGCTGGCAGGAGTTCGCGTACTGGATATGAGTCGGGTTCTTGCAGGGGTATGTGAACTACACACCAATCACTGATGAAACGATTGTAAAAGACACACTGACACTCCGAACAGCCATACTGCACGCAAATTCTGGGTGATTTAGGGTGTGTCTCGTTGAGATACTCGATAACCATGAACTCAAAATACTTACATTTCTCATAGAGCAGAGATTATCAAGTGCGAGCATCCTGTGCGAGGCGACGATACGCGCGCGTGGGGCCCGCCTTTTGCAGCCTACACTGACGGCCGAGCCGGCAACGGCGAAAGCGCGTACTACCTCTCCGTATGGTACTCTAATTACCCGCGCCCATGTTAAAAAGCTCATAAAATCAAGGTGAACCGAAACAAAAAATCCCTAGGCCTATCTTTTGCCCATCCAGAAGGGGTTCAAATCCTACACCAACTCGTGCGCGCCTGCGACATCTTAGTCGAGAACTACCTCCCCGGCTCACTAAAAAAATACGACCTAGATTACGAAACACTCAGCCAAATCAACCCTCGCCTCATATATACAAGTATTACGGGCTATGGCCAGACAGGCCCGTACAGCAACCGGCCCGGCTTTGACGTAATGGTCGAGGCCGAGTTCGGACTCATGCATTTGACCGGTACGCGCGACGGCCCGCCTGTCAAGGTTGGAGTTGCGGTGACTGATTTGACGACGGGTTTGTATGCGTGTAATTCAATTATGGCCGCTTTATTGGCGCGCGCGAACACGGGCGAGGGACAGCATCTTGATGTTTGTTTGAGTGATTGCCAGGTTGCAACACTAGCAAATATGGGGCAGTCAGTGCTGATTAGTGGGAAGAAGGATTCCGGGAGATGGGGGACAGCTCATCGTGAGTAGAGTATGGGATGCTCACAATTGCGGAGACTAATTCTATTTTCCTAGCTTCTGTTGTCCCGTATCAGGGATTCAAAACTGCCGACGGGGATATCTTCGTTGGCGGTGCAAATGATCGTCTATTTGGGATTCTTTGTGACAAGATTGGGAAGTCGGAGTGGAAGACTGACTCCCGGTTCGTCAGTAACAATGAACGGGTCAATAACCGCGCTGTTTTAGAGCCTTTGATTGAAGGTGAAATGGTCAAGCGCACCACACAGCGATGGCAGGAGATCTTCGAGGGGAGCGGGTTACCATATGCTGCTGTGAATGATATCCAGGGGACGATGTATCATGAGCATGTGGAAGCTCGCGGTATGGTGCAGTCTATTGAGCACCCTGCTTGTGGTCCCATCAAGGTTATTAGTCCGCCGGTGAAATATTCTAATGCGAAACCTAGCATTCGCATTCCACCTCCTCTGCTTGGAGAGCATACCGATGAGTTACTTCGGGATGTGATTGGATTGAGTGTTGCGCAAGTGGAGGAGTTGAGGGACAAGGGTGTTGTGGCATAAATCTGCAGGCATTTTCGGTTGCTTAGGTGCTTAATGATCTCTTATAGGTTTTCTGAACGCTCGTAATGCGGAAAAATGGCAATTTAGAGTTAGTTAAATGGGCTAAAATAATTTTAGTAACCGTATGATCCACTATTGTAGGAGTAGATATATATCCTACATTGAGGAAAGTATATACTAGTATCAGAGTATTATATATGTTTGGAAGAGTAGACTTTGGCAAAACTTACAATTTGGTCCAAACTATGGGGGACGATAGTTACAGCCCTGCCAAAACGTTTCCGCCGCCAGTTGCGGGTATAAGGACGGCATCGCATCGGACTGTGGTCGAAATATGCTAGCAATGGGCAATGTTCCTGACGATCGTAGACAAACCCGCTCTGAGCTATAAGAAAAAGCTGTAGCTTCAGCATTCAAATTAACACACCACCGCTCGTTGGCATCCTGCCTAGCCCCGTGGTAACTAGGAATCTCCAGCGTCCGTCCATATCTACAAAAGTCCGTTTATTGAGCCGAGATGTAGTTATACGAGTCCCACACTTCATCCCTGGGTCGGGGCCGAACCATCAGCTTAACCGGGTTGCAATTGAAGCGCTCAAAGTGCTCTACCTCACCCTGGCCGGGCCCCAATTCCCACTCAAAAGCAAGGACAAGAGCCGCAATACAGATGCTCAGCTCCATATATGCCAGGTTCCGCCCGATGCACGCTCGGGCGCCTTGGCTAAACGGCTGCACATACTCCTTGAGGTTCTTGCGTTCCTCGTCCGTGTAATTCTTGTTGTCTGGGTCCCAGCGCTCTGGAAGCCAGCTGCCGGCATTACTGAAGAGCTTCTCGTTCCGATGGAGCGTATACGTCGGCGCGGAAACCCCAACCCCGGAGGCAATCTGGTAGCCGGCGATGATGGCAGGCTGGGTTGTTCGACGGGGAAGACCGGTTGCGACAGGAGGTAAAACACGGAATGACTCGTCGATGCAGTATCGGAGGTACGGAATATGTTGCAGCTGAGCATATGAGACGATTGGACTTTGGTCTGTGGAAATCTCTTCCTCCAGAATCCGGCGAAGCTTTCCCTGTTCTTTTGGATTACTTGCGAGGCTGTACAATATGTTGACCAGAGAGGTCTGTGTGGTGTCGTTCCCTGCATTCAGCATAACAGCAGATTCGGCGATGAGCTCATTCAGTTCCATGGGCACCGGGTTCTTTTCTGTTGGTTTTACGGGAAGGTTGGAAAACAGATCGGGCTTGCTAGGTGGATTCTGCAACCTGTCTGTAACCAGATAGCGCGCCATGCCAGTGAAGTATGTTCCACATTTGTTTCCGAACGTCCAGCCCAACATCCGGTTTTTAATCAGGTCGTACCAAAAGCCAGGCATGTGGCCCAAGAGCACGCTGAGGCGGGCTCCTGTGTGGAAGGTCTGCATTGCGTGCACTTGCCGGACGCCACCTTTTGCATCCTGGGCCATGCAGTCATCGTCGCCTCGATCCAGAAACTTGAATGAATTTGAGAAGAACATGCTACTGATCGCGTCGTACGTGAACATGTTTAGCCACGGTCTGATGTCCAAGGCTCCATTGACAGTATCGAAACGGTCAGTGGGGGCAATCTTGCTGCCCTGAGATTTGACTTTGACAGCCCGAAGAAGCTTGTCAACAACATCCATTACCCGAGGCTCCATCGACGTGACCTGCTTCGCTGCAAAGACGAACGACAGGTTCTTTCGCTTCCGGCTATGGAGCTCACGACTGGAAGTATCCGCCATGGATGGGTTGCCGCCGGCCTGATTGTCATAGAACACATCCTTGACCACTTGCGATCCGTGTCCGTAGATGTCCTTGTACGCCTGGATGGAAGAGAAGGATATCGTGTTCGGTCCAATCCGAACCACCTCGCCCAGGGCTCGATGGGCTTCATCGATGGCGATAAACTTCTGGCCACGCCAGTTGTGATACATCTGCCATAGCGGAGTCCATGAAGCAAATACTGAAGGTGCTGGGAACCTTCTCAGTGCTTTCTCGTCACGAAAATATTGAACCGGTAGATAGAGTATGATAAATACTAGAATGCAGGCGAACAGACCAGCTACATGTCATTTAGTTCTTACCGTCCAGGAATATTTGTGGTGAACGTACCTAGCAACAACATGTTTGGTTGACGTTTTTAGTACACAACTATGAGGAGAACACAAGCTTAGTACTGTGGTGTTGTTGATAACAGTAGAAGCAGCTTGGTTCCTTTAGACCATAAGCGAAATCCTCTCTACTAAATCAGCAAACATGTAGTGGAGGGGCCCGAGTTCTCCAGGTCCTATGACCGTCCTGACATGGTTTTCGGACGGGATTTTCGCCGAGGTCGGTTAGGGCATGATTGGACTTTCCATCTTTGCCCCGACTCTACCTCGCCGGGAACTTCCCAAACGGGTTAGAACTTCAAGACTCCGCAATCCGAATGTCATGGGGCCCAGATATATAGATAGACCGTTTATGTGGTTATGTTGCCGACCTCACAATCCAGGGCTGATTGGGCCCGGCCCAGATCCTCTGCAAACGATCACAACAGGTCCCGTTCGGCCACTTGGTCTGATGCATAAAGTTTTGAAGAAAGCTAAGCAGGCGCCTCTGTTCTTCCTTGCCGGAGAAGAGCTGCCCGCACCATGCAGCAAGATGCGAGCCGTTGATGACCGCCCCCACGTCATCACAGGAAAACGTTATGCCACAGACCAGTCGAGCAGGAGTTAACACTTGGGACTGCAAACTTTAGCAACTCCGGTGACCCCAAATGTAGTTTCTCGCGAGTATGAGGAATCGCAAACCTACTTCCATGTATTGATTGATTTCAAGGAGAGACACGCATGCGGTCTGACGCCGACCATATAGTGCAAGCATGACTTTACATATATAGTAATATTGCCACGCAATGGCTAATGAAGGTCGTCAGCCCTGTCAATAACGACAATTTGGGAAAATTACCGTGCCACACGCTAACATATCGAACGATAGGAAACGGCTCAAATTCGTCTTGAATATGACACCATGGCTGGAAGCTGTCTGGCACACTTTGTCCCCACCGTTCGATAGATGATTGTAAGTGGTCGTAATTGTCCCATGACTCCTTCGGGCCGGTCGTGAGACCCGTTCCAGTCGGGACTTTCCAGCATTCATTACATATTCGTGCCGCTAGATATGTGATGCGATTAGCCCAGATCGTTTCCGGTGCCGGAGAATATGAGATGCTCAGCGCAGAAGCATCCAAGTCAAATTGGCACGGCTGCTCGTTCAAGAAACACATTCGAATATTCTGGCGTATGTAGACCCAGAATGATGCAACCTCCAAAGAAGGCTGCTCGAGAGACCATCTATTGCTGCCAGCAAATAGCGATGTTGCTCCCAGCAGGTGGCATTGCATGTCATTTTGGACCTCGTAGAATTGCTCGGACATTCGTAGGATAACGACAGTTGCAAGCAGAGCCTCGTTTTTCAGCGCCGCTGACTCGGTAGAGAGTTGTGGAATTAATGCGGTTATGGCTTGGTCGTGGTACCGATCGCCCTCGGACCGGTCTAGCTCTTTCATGAGTACCAGGACGCGCGACGCATATGCGAGGCAAGCATAGAATAAGACGGGAGTGACGAGAGCCAGTTTGGGAACCGTCTCTCCAAAATGGCGATCTGACGATGCAATGTCAAGCTACAACGCCAAGGAGGTTAGTGCCTGCCTCAATCCGTGGCAACTGTCCGCGATTCACGACATACCCATGGACCCGCCTGTTTCACGTAAAACGCAAAAACTTTAGCATCCAGCCGGTTCGTAACCACGGCCGCGGTGCTGTAGATTGGGGAGCTTTCCCGGTTGCTTGGACTACTGGTGATGTCCGGACCCATGGGGGCGGAATACTGCCATGCAGCACTATCTGGCTCGACATTAGTATGACGTCTCACCCAACCTGGGCTCTTCCAATGATGAACAGGTGAAACGTAGCGGATAGCATTTGGCACGATCCGAGAATCCCCCCGAATCGGTCGCTGAAGATGCGCAGAGGTGGCGGTGCCGCATTCAAGCTCAATTGATACATTATGTCGACTTTGATTGTACCTTATGATCGGAGAGGATACAGGACTACCTGGGCTGGCGCCTGAACATTAACTGAAGTTAGACCGATCATCATCGCCACATACGAACGGAACTTGCCATTAGTTGGCGACAGAAGTGACGTGGTGCAATCTGAATTCTTCCGCCGTTCTTGGCTTCGGACAGATAGCTTTGCAATGCGCGAAGAATAGTTGCTCTCTCGGATCTGGACCCCCTTGGATGCATACTCGCACCGTAAACAGGCTCTCGCTCTCTTACAACTGGAGCATATCGGACTAGCGCGATCACCTATGTTCGCGGATTAACCGTCTTGTTCCTCTTGCTATGGATCTTGGCAGCGTGCACTGACATTTCAGATGTCGTTCGCGACATGGAATACTGTCGGCGCGGTGTTAGCAAGCATGCATGGCCACCAGTGAGGGAAGCTGACCATCCAGGTTCTCGGGATGACATCATGTCAACAGCTGCGAGACGGCCGCATCCTGGGGTACCGAAGAAGTTAAAATCGCCGAATAATGGAGTCCGGGGTATGGGGTACATAAATGACTCGCTTGGTGGGCGGTGGCCACGGCAAAACGCTAAGCAGAGCGAGTCATCTCCTCGCCGAGGTTTTCTTATTCGGGACTGGCGTTGGTGTTAGCGCGAAGCTTGATGCCGATCTGCCTGCTCTCTTGTGCTGCATTCTGCGGAGATCCTACAACATTCCCCACAACATTCCCCTCAGTCATGGAGTCGTTTCTTATATACCGGGATGATTACCCCAGTGGACCAGGGATCTGGATTTGGCCAGGGGCAATGACAATAATTGCTTCCCTTTCCATCTCGTCGACCTCTAACCATGTCTGACAAGGGCAATGCGAGCATGCTGGAGGAAGCTGATGCCTCGTCCGGCGCCATGCACGAATATGCGGATGCTCCGCGCCGTAGCTATCTCTTTGGTCACCAGGGCTCCGTGTTGATGCGCACCATTAGTGTGGCTGGATCGATTGGATTCCTCTTATTTGGGTATGACCAAGGAGTCCTTGGTGTGAGTTTTAGTAGCCGGGAGTTCCATGTTGTCGCCAAGCTAATTACTAGCAGGGTATCAACACGTCGTCCGATTTCTTGCGTCAGTTTGGCAGTCCCTCGTCGAGTCTTTTGGGAACCATCAATGCCATCTATGAGATTGGCTGCTTCGGCGGCGCTGTTACGGTTTTCATCTTCGGAGATATGCTCGGCCGGCGGAAGTGTCTCTATGTTGGTGCTGCATTGATGACCATAGGCGCCATCCTGCAAGCATCTTCGTTCGGTGTTGCTCAGATGATCGTGGGGAGAATTGTTTGGTATGTGAACTATGAGCAATCGCACTGCAATCTGGCGCAGAAGGCTGACTCGTGACAATCCCAGCGGTTGGGGAAACGGGTTTAACACCGCAACGACGCCACTATGGGTCAGCGAGCTCAGTCCGGCCAAGACTCGAGGCCGCCTCGTCGCGATGGAGGGTAGTCTTATTGCGCTCGGAATTGTGATCGCGTCCTATTACAACATCGGCATGGCCTACACGACCGGTCCGGTGGTTTGGCGTGCTCCTATCGCGTCGCAGATCATCTTCATCATTCTCCAAGTTGCCTTCGTGCTTGTCTTGCCCGAGTCTCCCCGGTGGCTGACCAAGCGTATGTTAAGGTTAACCCCGTCGAGAGTACATTTGTAGATGAGGTGAGCTAACTGTGACTACCCAGACGGACGTCATCGCGAGGCCCTTGATATTCTCGCCCAGCTAAAAGAGACCAACACCCCACTCTCGGATCCCTCCGTGCAGGCTACCAAGGCAGAGATCGATAAAGCCCTTCAGCTCGAGCAGGCCGCCGGTCCATGGAGTATCAAGGAATGCTTCGTCAACGGACCTCTCAAAATCCGTCGACGGTATATGTTAGCCATTGGCGTTCAGGCCATGCAACAACTTTCGGGGATCAATGTCCTAGTATGACCTCAAAACACACCAGTCATTCAATCACTTCAAGCACTTTTTCTAATCAGCCTAGGTGTACTACTTCCCGCGCACCTTGACAACTGACCTTGGCATGGGCGAAAAAGTCTCCCTGCAAATAGCCGCAGGTCTCTCCTGCACCTACTGGGTCTTCAGCTTGATTCCTCTGATGTGGCTGGACAAGATGAGTCGCCGAAAGCCACTCATCCTCGGCGCTCTAGGCTGCGCATTTTGCTTCCTCATCGTAAGTCAATTCATTCTCCAACCATACCCATCATCAAAACTACATCTAACAACCCTCCTCCCAGGCCGGAGCCCTCCAACAAAACCCGACCGAAATGCGTGCCAAAGCCTCCCTGGCTTTCTTCTTCCTCTACGAAGCCATCTTCGCAATCGGCTGGCTCCCAGTCCCGTGGCTATATCCAGCGGAGATCATGCCGCTGCGCCACCGAACACACAGCACCGCACTCGCTACGGCGAGCGATTGGATATTCAACTATATGATTGTGCAGATCACGCCTATCGCTATCTCGAATATCCGCTGGCGGACATACATGATATTTTTCGCGCTGAACCTCTTCTTCGCGTTTGTTATCTGGCTCTTCTACCCTGAGACCTCGGGACGCAGTCTTGAAGAGCTGGATGCTATCTACTTGGGCGACAATAACCGTCTATTTGTCGTTGATAAGAGGGGCAGGCTGCTGCCGGGTTTTGCGGGTCGCTATAATCATGAGTCCTCTGATAGCATCCTTGAGGCGGGGGAGAAGTATTGAGCTCGATCTTGCCCGTGCGTGAAGATCTGAAAATTTATTTTCTCCTTGTAGTTGTGATTGTGGTCACTACTCTAGCTCATGTTGTCGTAAGCTCTGCCTCCCCGAATGGAATGTGTGCAAGTAGATGCCGGTGTCAGTTGGCCCGAAAGCAGCCTGAGGACTGACTGAGCATGTTCCGGGTCCCGCATATCTGAGCGGCTACTGAGCAATCACCCTGATCGGGTCCCCTGCCATTGTACTGAACCTCAATTTGATATTCTGACGCTACACGCTCCCAATATACACGGTGTTGAATCGTACCAGGCACAGAGTAACAACATCAAGCATTGACTGCGCGGGTATATTCCGACAAAGGCGCAGAATTGCCGCAGTATCAACATACACACGCTATGACCAACTGAAAAACAAGGGCAACTAAGAAGAGACAAAGATTTTTCGGCTGAAAATCAAAGATATCTATCAGTCACTATCGGCATCATCGGGTAACTCCTCAAATCTTCCTTCGCGGACAGCCTGGGCCACCGGGTTCTCAGCCGTGATGAGACCATTCGCTCTCGCCCTGCTCGAGTTGTCAACAACCACATCATGCCATGAAGTAAGTAAGCATACCTCTCAAAAAGCACAAAGAGCCTCTCGGCCTCTCGCTCCTTCTCCTCCTCCGTCATCGGCGGGCCAGTATCCTCCGGTTCGGCGGCGAGCCGCTGTCCAGTGACCGGATTGATCGCTGAGTTGAAGTCGTTGCCGTTTGTTGGGTTCGTCGCAAAGGCTTCCCCGGCGGTCTGCGGAATCTCCATGCCGCGGGACGCCAGGAATCCAGCGGCAAAACCGTATCCAATCCGCTTTGTCATGTTCTCCGCGTCCTTTCCGGATAGCACAAACATCAGGTCCGAGATGGCAATCTTGAGATTCTGGTAGGGGGTGGTCGAGAGCTTCAACAGTCGTGACGACAGAGTGTCGGTCTGTCCAATGGGTAGACTTCGGTCGTTGTCTTCTGGCAGAAGCAGCCACTGCATGTACTTGCGGGGCCCATCGGGTGCCTGCTCGTGGATGACAATGAGAGAATGCAGGAGGGGGATGGCTTTTACTTCCAGTTCTTCCGGGGCATAAACCGACACAGCTTGGTCCAAGATATTGATCAACTTATCGACATTGCAGTTCGTGTTGAATTTGGGGAACAGAGGGTTGCTCTCAAAGTGGCTTCCCTTCTTCTCTTCCAAGTCGAGGACCGAGAGACAGTTGATCAAGTAGCCGACCAGCCCGTCCAAGGGCTTCTCGGGAATGTCGACGCGGCTGACGATCTTCAGGACGTGCGGGATGGACGGGGAGAAGGTAACAGCGAGGTCAGGGTAGATCTTGGAAATGTTGAAAATCAACTTGAGGGAATCTATCAAAGCCAGTTCGTCGATTTGCGTCAATGGCGCTCTTCCTGATTTGGGGAACTGCTTGGCGTGCCGGCTTAATTGCTGCGCTCGTTAGCACACCCGCCAATGCTAGACCTAGACAGCTTGGCTCACGTAGTTGATATTCTCCCCTAGAGAATGTTTGTTGATTAGGTCGTCATAGTCCATCGTGGTATCGTAGGTTGCAAAGAACAGGATCCTGCTGGCGACCATTTCATCTTCCGAGTTATCGACCTGCCACATTGCCGGTCAGCTTCCCTCACGGCCCCAAAATCTATTGTGCATACCTTTAGGCGCTCCGCAAGCTTCCCACCGTATCCAGTGTCCACAAAAACTTGGCGCATCTTCGCATCTAGCAAAAGCGCATTCGCGACACACCGCAATGCTGTGCGCCGTATGTCGGCGTTCTCGCCTTCAACACCATATCGTACTAATGTCTCGATACCCTGCACGATGATCAGAGAGCTGCTTAGAACCGTCACTGGAATTAGTGACGTACATTCCTGCAATAGATCGGTTCTGCGTTCTCGGGGCTCGTGCCGTGCAGACGGAGCTGCTGAAGGATCTGAACACGCTCTTTTCCAACAATTAGGATCGGATCGGGATCATGGAAAGGTATCTGGTATACTGACGCGCGGGGGAAAGGGTCTTGTCGCGGAGGTCTTTGTTGAGAGTCTCCAGCAGCTCTGTGACCTGTTGGAGCTTTTCTGTGGTTGGTTAGCCACCGGCTTGGCAGAACAGGGCTCGTCGGGTCCAGGGAGAGGCCGTACCCGGTCCCTGAAGCTGGCGGGACTGCATTTTGGGCGATTCGAAGAAAGAAGAAAGGTCTTGGAGGGGTACGGCGTGATCGACCAAGGCCGGGTCTCGGGTCAGGGGAAGCGTCTGCTTGTGGACTGGAACAGGAGGTTCACGGCATGCGAAACTGGCACAGAACGAGCCGTTGTCGCAGAGTGATACTGGCTGTCTCGATGGTCTGGCAGGAAGGACAAAGAAGCACGGAGAGGACGAAGATCATCGTTTGGAATGGGGCAAGAACCCCACTCGAGCTAGGTTGGTCGGGCCGGATTCCTCTATCGTATGGAGGGCAGGTATAGGAGGGATGAACCAATACAAAGAAGTGGATGGATTTATCTATAGAAGTTCGAAAGGAAACCAAGGGAGATGAGGGAAAATATCGAACCAAGGACGAGTACTAACAAAAAAGAACGGGGAACCTTTTAAGTGGCCTCTGGTTGCCTCAGGCTGCCATTCGCGCGGCCACTGTGAGGCGCGTGTTTTGGCGCGTCGGGCCATTTTCTCTCTAATGATCTCGCTCCCCTGCTTGACTGATCCATTCCTCAACCTCAATTCAACACCCGCCAGTGGACGAGGATCCCACTTCCACACCTCGCTCCCAGCAATGGTTTTGGAACCTCGTCTTTTCTCTCTTTCCCTTCCTTTCGTTTGATCTCCCCAAAATCATGGTGGAGATCTTGGGCCCGGTCTCTCCTACTCGTCCCCCTACGCCTCCCCGGACCGCCTCTCGCTTCGTGTCCGTGGACGAGAACAACCCAACCGGTTCGCCTATAGTCGTCCAAACTCCGGGGGAGTCGCCTTTCACCGTCGTGGGGTCGGCTGGCGCTCCCCCTTCCAGTCGAAGCTCCAAGCGTGTGAACTTCTCGCCCTGGAACAAGTACATCAAACCACCGACTTTTGCCAATCCTTCATCCAACAAGAACCCACCTCCCTCCAACGAGTTGCGACCCGCCAAATCCATCCTCAAGGCAACCCAATCACCAATCCCAGTGTGGTCGCCCAATGCCGATACGTTCACCACCGAGTCGCTTGCCATGCTGCTCGAATCCGTCATCCAGCAGCTGGCCAGCGAGTCCCTCAGCTCCAGGCTCGATGCATACATGCAATTCTTCGGAGCGTTACGGACGTATGAAGGGCTGCCGGCGGGACAAGATATTGCGGATAAGCTCGGTCTCATTACGGAGTTCATCCAACGCGACGTTAGCAGGGACCTTGTCAACGGCAAGCCAATGGACACCAACCTAGCCAACCAGGCCCTGAAGCTCTCGGCGGCCTTTGTCTGGCATGCGGAGATATCCACTCAGCTTTCAGACGACTTCAAGATGTTTCTGGTGGAGCAATGCATCACGAGTCTTCGCGAGGCCAAGGTGCCCAAGTCGGTCTTGTCCCATTATATGAACATTTTGACCACACAGAACTTCGGGCCGAAGATCATGAACCACAGCCGGGTCACCCGTCTGTTGACAGAATTGCATGATATCAACAAGAGGGTTCCTGGAAATGCCATTGTCACCTACCAGTTGGGCATCTACCAGCGTCTTCTCACTCAATCCAAAACCGCCTTCATATCCCAGTCCGAAGTATGGATCGAGCACCTGATCTTTGGTCTTCTTCATCATTTGAAGGACATCCGGCTCAAGGCAATTTCTTTGGGGTTCCAGATATCTGCCGCTGGCATGGACCTGGTGCTGTCGAGGAACATCCGAGACCTTTTCGACCGGCCACTCGAGAATGATCGAAACTTGGGAGCCGAGATCCGCGAGCGCATGTCAAGAATGATGGCTTCTACGGAGAGCGGTGTGCATGTTCCCCAGATCTGGAGTGTCATCGTCCTCCTTCTCAGGAGCAAGCGATGGAGCCTGGAGAAGTGGGATCAATTCCGGGAGTGGGTTCTTGTGCTGCAGAAATGCTTCAACTGCAGTGAACAGGCCATCAAGGCACAGGCAATTATCGGCTGGAACCGGTTTGTTTTTGCTGTTGGCCCATCTGAATCGACAAGCCTCTCCCTGCTCAAGATGCTTGGGAAACCGATTCTCACCCAGTTTGAACGAAGGAAAGCGGACAGATCTTGGCAATCGCCCACAAACCTCGCGCTCAGCAGCTATTACAACCTCCTCTACTATGCCTTCCGCCCTTCGACCTCCTATCGTCATCTGGATCGGATTTGGGATGAATACGTCGCTGCTCCTTCATCGGGTGCATTCTCGTCCGTCCCGGCTCTCAATGATTGTGCATGTTGCGCAATTGCGAATCTGTTGTGGAGTTCGCAGGCCAAGGTTTGGTCAGAGACTCGGATCACTGACAACGAGAGGCTGCAGCCTGAGGAGCTTCTCTCTATCGACAGCAAGTGGGTGAGATCACGAATCTCTGAGGTCTTGAAGGTCTTTGAGCATTTATTCAAGTCGTCTGTCTGGAGTGGCGGCTCGGATGGCCTTCCCAATGTGGCCTTGGCTTGGACCAATCTTGCCAACGCTCTATCATTCGCCTCAAGCAAGGAGATCACCCCTTCGGGTGAGTCTATGCAGGCCGTTGCCAGCGTCCTTGGACTACTCCAACGGCTTTGGACAGCTGGCCCATCATCCTTGAACGCGACAGGAGAACAATCAGATCATGAGTTTCTTGCAAGATTTCAGCTATTGTCAACAAAGATGATATATTCCCTTGGGAGTATTCCTTTCACAGAGAAGCTTCTTTCGCGAGTGGCCGATGAAACTTTCCAGATCTCCAATACCCCCAGCCACCATCGGACCGGCCCGGACTCCAACCTTCACAGTTCCATCCTGCACCTCCTCCAAATGATTAGCGATCCTGGGAAACTTGCATTGACTCCGTCCTACAAAGACCTAGTGACTGCTATTGTGCAAGCATCTTGCAATGGCAGAATCTCCCGATGGTCCCGTCTCGAACTTCTTCAGCAATTCACAGAGCTCAGACCTGCGGGGATTGATTCCCGTTCCCGGGAGCTTCAAGTCTCCGAGGAGATTTGGAAGACTGTTGCGCAGGAGGCGGCTGAAGCTTTGCGCTCTTTCCCCATCGAATCTGCGCGTGAACGTGATGGATCTGTTTCGCGAGATTACGAAAACATCAACAAGATTCTTTCCTCCGGCCTTCACTTCTCGAACACATTCAAAGAATGGTCTCATCTCCTCGACTCCTTCTTTCGTGTAGTACGGACGGAGAAGGGGGATCGACTGCTTGCCACCATGATCGTGGAACCCATGGCCGAAATTTTGCTGAGTCTTCCGGCTCGGGCTGCTTATATGCCAGCGTCATCACTTCTGGGCCATGCATTATCTATCCCTTTCTTCCAAGATCCAGTCACTGGTGGAGAATATAGCGGCTCTGGATCACTTGAAGAAACACTTTTCCCCCATAAGTTGCTGGAATTCGTTGGGACAACGCTTTGCAGGGTATATGAAAGCTTTGATGCTTCGGACACGGATGATTTGGCCCACTTTGTTGAATCCCTGACATCCTTTATGTCGTCGGGCTTTCCATCATTGCACTCCAAGGTTTTGGAGACACTTCAACCGTCCTTGTGCCTTTGGTTGAAGGATGAGGCATGTCAAATTGATATCGACCGAGGGGCTAATAGTCGAATTCTGACGGCAGTAAGTGCCCCCAAACAGGATTTCTGGATAACCCCCTGATAAGAGAAACAGTGCCGGACGCTTTCATCTGTTGTCGTTCATATCCTGCAGACAGATGTTTCTCATGATCTGCCTTCCTTACAACGATTTGAGGCCATCATCTGCTCGGGCTTGGAATCGTCGCATACGTCGACTGTCAAGCGCTTTGCGGAGCTTTGGGGCTCGACGTTTGGTCTGCAAGAATCCCTCGCGTGTCCTGCTGTTCAGCAAGCCTTGCACACAGCAAAATTGCGGCTCCAGGCTCCAGTCTCGCAACCGCAAAGTGATATTCAGGTACTTTTACATGCTTCACTGTCTCTTCGTAAGCCCGGCTAACTATTCATGTCCAGATGAATGATAGCTTATCATCCATGTGTCGAGAAGGACACGATCAACCGACGAACGAACTCCCTGGTGTCCAAGATAGTGCCATGCAGCTTACTACTGCAGAACTCAAGTCGTCCCCTGTCATTAGGGCGCAAGACTCTTCATCGATGTTACCACCTCAACGACGGGAGCCAGCCATCTCACAGCCTGAAGCTCCCGAGGAGCAAATTACCGAAAGCACACCGGTCACTAACAATCGCCAAACGCGACGTGAGGTTTTCAGGATGATCGAAGCCATCCATTCATCGTCACCAGCACCCACCCCGGGCAAATCGGGCCTTCAAACACCCACTCATCTCCGGCGTCTGCATCGCTCTGAGTCTGCGAATGACTTACTACTGACACCTACTTTTGGAGCTGCCGAACATGAGGGCTTTCTTGGTTCTTCTCCGACTCCTGGAACCAGAGAGCCAACGCCTGCGGCCAGCTCTGAAATGCCTCATATGACGACAACCCACGACATTGAGATGAGCATGGAGACCGATATTCCATCTTCGCCACCAGAACTCCACTCTGGGAGTCCAAGCCCCCGCAAAAACAAAAAGTCTAGAGGCGCACGCCGCAGGTCTGCGCGCAGGAAAGCCACTGCGGCTAGATCTGGCAAGCAAGATCCCGTGTCTAACCCGACTGTCTCCAACCTTGATATGGCTGAAGACAGCGCAGCAACATCCACTGGTGATACAGAGGTCGTCTCCTCACAAGAACCGGAAATGCCTCTCGGGGGACGTTTGCGTTCTGCTTCTGGCAAAGTCACACCCGCGGAACCGAAATCTGCACCAACGGCCCCTGTCGAATCATCTGCAACTACGGAAACCGTCGAAACACCAACGAGAGACACAGCCGCGCTTTCTTCCCAGAAGACGGCATCAACTGCTAAGTCCAAAAAGAGTAAGCGGAAGAGCACGCCGAAGCCCAAACCTCAGGAAACTCAGCAGGAAACGGAAGAGCTTGTTGGAGACACAGCTTCTGCTCCTGGGGCTGCAGTCCCCGATGATTTTGTCGACTCTGCCAGCGAGGATGTGGATACTCAAATTGCTTCTCAGCTTGAGCAAGACTACCAGCTCTCCCGGAATGTCGCTGAACCGGAAAACAGTGCTAGTCATGCTGAGCAACACTCGGGACCCGCTACCAGGAAAAGAAAGCGCCAGGAGGAGACTCGTTCATCCAGCAGGATGGAAACGCGCAGATCCAGCCAACGCTCGGCGACGAAAGAGCTCGTTCCAGAAGCCGCCCAGACTGAGACGGTAGAATCGCAGAGTTTGGCTGTCCCCGATGCTACGCCGCGTGTCTCGGCAGATAAAGAGTCACCAGTATTGCGTCGCCGCTCAACCCGCAGCTCTCAACTCAAGGAAGTTGAAAGCGCATTGCCAGACTCGATTCCGCTAGCCCAAGAGGCGAGACAGGACTCCGCTCTTCAAGAAACAGTTCAAGAAGCAGAAACTCCGCAGCCGCCATCGAAGCGAATCCGCAAATCACTTCCTCGTCCCGTCGCAGAAGAAAGCCCAGCCAAGAACACACCATCCCGTGAAACCCGTTCCAGTAGGAGACGTTCCCAGCCAAGTCAGATTGCGTCTCAGTCAGAGTCTTTGCAAGAAGCTGATACGCAATTCGAGCAATCTGCTTCTCAGGGAGAGCCTCAGCATGACGAGACGCTCGATCTGGACCTCGTTTCCGAGACTACCCTGTCTCCGGATAAGCCAGTGGAGCCAATTGACCTTACTGTGTCATTCAATGTACAACCCGATACTCAGATGAACGATGTTGAGCCATCAACTGAGTCTCGATCAGTCAACCTGGATATTGCAATGGCGGGAGTGTCTACAGACGGTCCAGCCGACGCTCCAGTGGCCAAGCCAGTCCCTAACATTGCCCACTCCACAACTCAAACCGATGAACAAGTGCCGTCCTCTATCGGAGCAGACAGCAGCGAGGCCGGCATCAGCCGATCGCTGAGCAAAATCCTCGAGAACATGAAAACAGCGACGCTCAGCCCCACTGCCCTCCGCGATATTGACGATCTCCTGTTCAATATCCGCGTCGAAGCCCACGAGGCGTTCCGACGCCACAACCATTCAGCATAGCGATTGGAGTTTGTTGAGAAAGTCGCACAGACTTTTTGTATTTTTTGAATTTTGCTATATTGGATTCAACCCGTCTGTCATACTTATTCCCCCAGCCTTGCATCTAACTGTCTAAGCAGCCAAAGTAAAGAAAGCGCACCCCATTGCATGTCCACTGTTTCTTCTATACTTTCTTTTCGGGATGCTACTGTACTGTTGCCAAATCTTGGTCTTGGCCATGTTCTTTTGTCGTTTCACTTTGGGCGCTCGTCTGGCTTAGCTTGAAAGACACATCTTATTACTCTGAGGAGAACTCTTGTGACGACTTCATGGTTCCTCGTAACAAGTTGGTCTCTAGTGAACCCACTATATCCCTCATAAGTGCTAGAAGCAAATGTCCATCGCCTCCGTGGCAATAGGGGTATGATAAGTAGATGAGCTCCATTGGCCATCCTCATAGACGAAATCGCCATGGCCACATCAGGGGCAAACCGAGGTGTCTGGACAGATACGCGCAAGAACCCCGGATGATAGTCCGCAGCTCGTTTCGGGTGTCATGATGATGTGGCATGACGCACTGCGCCGCCTCTTTGAAGGGAGAAAAGGAAGCAGATAAAAGCCAGTACTTCGCCGCTGCGCGTTTCTCGCTATACGAGATCTTCACTGCTTCGATGTGAGTACGACACCGTGCAATCATCAATGACAACCCGAGCAGCACTTGACACCAGCTGCTTCCTACCACGAAAGACAAAATAAACACACACACACACACACACACAACACCAAGATGGCCGCACCAGGGACTCAATATGCCCTGCAAGCAGGACTCGCATCTGGCATGTCCGCGACAGAGGGCGTGCACTCGCCGCATCTCAAGCCCGTTGACCCGCATCTCAGCGACGACCCCTACGTGCTCCCCGCGGACATAATGCCAGACTCGCAGAGCCGGATTGCAGTGCGCGGCCGCGGCGGCAAAGACGTACAAATCCCCTACATGAGCATCGGCGCCTGGGCCTGGGGCGACAAAGCGACATTCGGCTACGATGCGACGCGCGACCTGCCACGTATCCACGCCGCATGGGAAAAGCTGAAAGCCGTGGGTCTGACCTTCGTCGACACGGCGCAGGCGTACGGCGACGGCGAGAGCGAGCGTATCTGCGGCAGTCTGTTCCGGGGCATGAGCCGGAACTCGTTCGTCGTGCAGACGAAGTGGCTGTCTGCGCCGGACCTGACCAACACCCTGATGCAGTCGAAAGGCCCCAAGAGGAAGCTGAAGGACTCACTGTCCCGGCTGGGCCTCGACTACGTCGACATCTACCTCGTGCACGGCCCGATTCACCCGGCCATGATCTCGACGGTGGCTAAGGGGATGGCCGAGTGCGTGGAGGCGGGCATGACGCGCGCAGTGGGCGTGTGCAACTACGACACCCAGGAGATGGTCAAAATGGCCGACGAGCTGGGGAAGAACGGTGTTCCGCTGGCAGTGTGCCAGTGCGAGTACTCGATTATCCGGCGCTTCCCCGAGGCGAGCGGGATGATCCGCGAGTGTCGCAAGCGCGGGATCTGTTTCCAGGGCTTCTCCTCCTTGGCGGAGGGCAGGCTGACGGGCAAGTATTCCGAGACGAATCAGCCGCCTCGCACCCTGCGCTTTAGTAGCTATCCCATGCACATGCTGGAGCCGACGGTTAATGTGCTGAAGCGCATTGCGGACGAGCGCCGCATACCTGTGCCGGCGGTCGCGCTCAACTACTCGATTAACAAGGGTGTTGTGCCGCTGGTGGGCATTCGGGACGCCGAGCAGGCGGAGCAGGACATGCAGGCGTTGGGATGGCGGTTAACTGAGGATGAGATCAAGCGGATTGAGGCCGTCAGTATCCAGGGAAGCACGTCGTCGTTTTTCCAGCATGGCTAGACATGGTGTAGTTGAAGTGGGTACAGAAATGAATCTTTGTTGTTGTTGTTGTCAAGTGGAGATGTTCGTCCCCGCCATGACTTAATCATTCAGCTCTTATCGTCTTCAGCTGCTCCCTGTGTTCCTTCCCTCGTCACACTCTCACCCACTCGCCCACAATAATAATAATGGATCGTTCCAATAAACCCTCCGCCATCGGCGTGGGTGCCTCCCTGCCGCAGCCCTCCGTCAATATCCAAGATAACACCGTGAAAACCACCTTGCCCACCGGCCAGTCCGTCACCGTCCACCTGTACGGCGCCACCGTGACGTCGTGGAAGACCGCCAATGGCGAGCAGCTGTTCCTCAGTCAAAAGGCCCATCTAGACGGCTCCAAGCCTATCCGAGGCGGCATTCCGCTCGTGTTCCCCGTACGTTTTTATGTTGTTTCCTTGCCATTTTCATCTGCTAATCCGCAGTCCAGGTGTTCGGCCCCCCGCCTTCCAACCACGCAACCTCCTCCCTGCCACAACATGGCTTCGCGCGTAACTCCACCTGGGAGTACCTGGGCAAGTCGTCGTCGGAGTCATTGGGCAAGGACCAGAACCAGGAAGATCTCTCGGTGAAGCTGGATTTCGGATTGTCGCATAGCATGCTGAGCGAGGAGTTCCGGAAAGCTTGGCCGTATGAGTTTGGCCTTGTGTACAGCATCACCCTTACCAAGGACGCGCTGGAGACGACGCTGCAGGTGCGCAATGAGGGTAAACAGAACTTTGAGTTCCAGGTTCTGATGCATACGTATCTGCATGTTGAGGTGAGTAGAACCACATATTTGGCTTCAGCACAAGCAAGTGGCTCATTTGCTCCGTTTGAATAGGACATCTCCAAGGTCCGGGTCAAGAACCTCGAAAACAAGACATACGTCGACAAGACTCGCGGCGCCACTTCTCACATTGAGTCCTCCCCCGCGCTGGCGATCACTGAGGAAACGGACCGTGTCTACCAGGGTCTTGAGCCCACCGTCCCGATTACCGTCTCTACTACCGATGATAAAACGCTTTTCTCGATCACGCGAGAGGCTTTGACTGACGTCGTAGTGTGGAATCCTTGGGTCGAGAAAGCCAAGGGCATGGCTGACTTCGCGCCGGATGACGCATACAAGAACATGATCTGTGTTGAGGCCGGCACGGTAGCGGCGTGGCAGACTCTCGAGGCTGGTGAAGCGTGGGAAGGCGGACAGAGCATTAAATCGCGCCTATGAAGTGCCATGGCACTTGTTTCATCCTTTTCAGCTATGGGGAATACCTTGAGAGGACAAGGCTCCCGTTGGCGACCTAGAAGAGACGGAGGAAAGGATTATTCAAGGCGGTAGTCAAGAGGTGTTGAAAAATTCCTTAAGTGTTAGATACTCTGTCAGAATCTCTTGGGTTATAGAGTTCTGTAGCTATGGACCTCTATAACTCTCAGGGCTTTACAACAGAACATCTAACACAGCCGGAATCATTCAATAACTCATGACTACTTTCTTGACTACGTCCTTCCAAGTTTTCTATCTGTACGAGACTTGATGACTTGAAGACGATTTGTGTTTTATCTTTTTTTGACGCAGAAATGAAATAGATTCGTTGATCATTTGCGGATTGCGATTAGAAAAGTAAAGCTGACACTATATCCAGAATTATAAACACATATACTTTGATATCACAGGGCAAACATTGACACGAAGCAAAAATCAAGAGAGCAACAATTCATTCTCATCACATCGTCACACATGTCCAAACTCATCAAACTGTGGTCACATTCGCCAAATTTTCAATAACCCGACGACTCTCCTTGCCCTCCTGGAACGCGGTCAATCGCTCCGCCGCCTCGAAACTGTATTTCGGGCCCTGATACACGCGTCTAGCCTGGAACAACCACCACAGCGCAGTCAATGCCATCAGGCCAACGATAATGACGCTGGTGTAGTTCATGTTCTTAACCGTGGCGGGTAGCACGAGCGGGAAGCAGAAGAACACGACCGTGACGAGGATATATATCAGAGCGACGAGGTTAACAATCATTCCCAACCTGCGGCCCATATAGAACGGTCCGGGGACCATGTTACGCCTCCCGGAGAGGACATGTGGGAAGATAGCCCCGAAATAGGACAACGAGCTCAGCACAATGAATGAAGAGATCAGCGCTTGGAAAGCCGTTGCGCTGCCAACGTATATACAGCCCAAGCAGGTGACCATAGCGCTCATGGCAACCGTCGCACGCACGGGACAGTTGAGGGATGGATCAACGTAGGCGAAATATGATGCGAAGGGGGTGGCGTTGTCACGGGCTAGACTCCACCACATCCGGCCACCGGTCACGAAGGTGCCGATGAGGGTCGGGAATGTGGCGAGGAATAACACGGCAATTAGCCCGATGGCACCGGTGTTGGACCCTGTAGCTTGACGGTATATTTCGGCTGTAGGGAAGAAGCCTATGGTGCTGCTGAAGACGGCGTCGAGGTCTTGGATGGAGTAGAAGAGGGCGATTAGGTAGACGAAAGAGGTTGTGAATGCTGTTAGCATTTGGAGCATGATTCCTTGGGGCACTTTGATCTCAGGTTTTGGAACTAGATGAAAGTATCAACTGGCTGTGTTTCAAAACAGATAGTGAATAACATACCTTCTTCCGATAAGTGGCTGATACAATCGGGCACACCCACTGCGAAAGCAGCATTGAGTAGGCCTGTCATGAAGCAGATCCCGTCCGACCATCCACCAGTCCGATTGTAGTATGTCGTCCACACCTGTGTATTACTCGCGTGTGTCTTGGGCATGACGGCGAGAACCACTACCGTCGTGACAAGTCCACACATGGACAGCGTCAGGGCAATACGATTGATCAACGGGATGAACCGATTCCCTAAACAGACAATGGCACAGCAGGTCCAGTTCACAATTTGAAACACCACAAAAACTTGCCAGGAGCGCCAGCGCACCTCGGTGTGTTGGAGTAGGTACATAGCCACTGCCTCGTTGCCTAGCATGGAGCTCATAGACGACGCGGATAGGAGCCATGCGCAAGCATTGAGATATCCCGTGAAAAAGCCTGCTGCACGGCCGCGCTTCCGGCTCAATACTGAAGACCAGTA